CTTATAAAAGTGAAAACATTAGATGTTCTAATAATTCATCATTTACACTAATCAATACAACCTTGAGTACCTATTTGATCAATGCAAAGTACATGGTCAATATCACAAATGTGTATCTAATCTCATAGAATATTCATTTGACATTTAATACAAAGAGGGCTGTCATAATAAGATTGTAGATGCTCTAAGTGCCCGAGCCTTAAAGATTAGGTGATCTTCTTAGTCTCTATCTTTGAGTGACTAGATATGGATGTGACAATATAAAGGGTAACTAACGACCCACAACTCATAACAATCTATAATACATTTTTGGATGACCTCTTATTGTACAAGAGAAGACTAGTATTACTGAGGTCGTCATTCTTCATTACAAAATTTACAGTAGAATTTTATCATATAACATTAGAGGACATGTTGGGCTCCTAAAGATATTTAAAGATGTCTCAACAATTTTTTCAGATAGAGATGAAGAAAGCTATTGAGGCACATGTTAACTCATACTTTATTTACTTACACTCTGCACTTTCTCTTACATAATTACCACAATCATTATTGATTCTAAATCAGATAAAAGAAGATATATTTATATATTTTATAGAATGATTATTCAAGTTCATAAAATATGACATAATTATGGTGATCATAGATCAACTTAGTAAATATAACCACCATATATAATTGTATCATCTGTTCTTCGCTAAGGATGTGATGGTCAACTTTGCATAAGAGCTTGCGCATGTGCACATGTTTTTTTATCTATTATTTTCGATTAAAAGATTGTCTTCACCAATTCATTTTAGAATGATTTTCACTCACTACGAGCGACGTCATTGAAGAAAGTTTTGCTTATCACCTGAAGAGAGACATCAAATGGAGGTAGTCAACCACATCCTAAAATGTTATCTATACTATTTTACAGATGATAAGCCCAAATGATGGAACAAGTGAGTGCATTGAGCATAATTAAGCTACATCATCACATATCTATCAAGATGTGTGTATTATATGTGATATATAGTTGGGACCCCCCACCATTATCTATTATGGATCTCTACTTTTGCCTTGCAATGAGTTGGATAATATACTAGTAGAATAAAATCATATTATTGATCTTCTCTAAGGTCACTTGGCATGGACACAAGCATATATGAAGCTTCAAGTAAATAAATACTAGAGTGATGTATAGTTTGAGGTAGGTGAGACAATCTATTTAAAATTTAGGTCATATTGGATATAGACTTTAATGCAATGGCCGAATAAAAAACCTAGGCCCAAATATTTTAGTTTTTATACAATCCTTCAAAAGGTAAGGCATGTAGAGTATAAGATCGCATTGTCAACACATGCCAATATCTATATAATTTTTTATGTGTCACAACTAAGGCGAGTCTTAGGACCAAATGTGTCACCTCAATTACTTTCAAAAATTATATTTGAGAGGGAGTGGATGCTCAAGTCGTAGCACATACTCACCTCCAAATCGTCTCCAACAGATCTACTCATCCTTGTCAAGTGAAAGGGCCTAACCCTACTTAGACTTCTTTGAACTTAAGAAGATTAGTTCTACTAATTATTTATGAGTTTTTATTTGTGGAAAATTTAAACAGATCTTATGGAGCTAAAGGAAATAAATTTTACAGCTAAATGGCTGAAAAACGATGCCCAATGGAGAACCTATGGATTTAGGTACATTTTCAAAGGTTAATGGGCCTAGAATGGCCAGGCCCAAGGTCTACACATTTAGAGCAACTTTGGACAAAAGTACCACAACACTTTGGGCATCATAATCAAGAGTAAAAGGGCACCACCTAAATCTATTATGCATTGATTCTCCCCTTGATAATGAAATTAAGTTTCTAGCATTTAGTGCTATATCCAAAACAAATTCACTCACTTTATCAATAAATCTGTTTTTTCTTAATTTCTCACCCCTAGATGTTAGGATCTCTTTAGATCTAGATTCTCTTTTCTCCCTATTTCAAACTCTCAATTAGGATTCAGCTCATCCTCATCTTAGATCTTAAAATCAATTTAGAATCCTACTCTAAAACCTAATTCTTAAGGAGATGACTCTAGCTCATCACATTCTACCTAAATATATCAAGAGTTTGGCTTATAAATGTGTTTTATTGAGTTCTACTTAAGACCTACAACACCTTAAGTTTAGGAAACATCACCTAATTAAGTTTGAAATCATGTGGGAGCCAACAAGAGCTCTCAAGACATATTTTCTGAAATTTCAGCTTAAGGGCAAGTTGGTTGTCAAAGGGAGAGTATTGATGAAGAACCTACTACACATAGTTGGAGGCCCAAGAAGTCCTTTCAGCCTAATTCAGCATGACCTAACCCCTATATAAGAGATAGGAGGGGAAGTTTGAGAGAGGGGACATTTTCGAATGAAGGTACATTGAGGAAAATATCTCTCCCTCTCTCGTCTCCCTCTTCTCTCTTTAGATCTTGACTCTTCTTCTATTGCTAGGTACTTGTATGGCAGCATGTCTCTCTCATGTCTTTAGGTGGAACCTCTCTCCTTCTTCTCTTTTCCTTCCCCTTTTCTTTTCTCCTGATTCTTCTTCCATAGCTTCCGATCACTAGTATGTAGATGCAATTATTAATGATCTAATGAATTATAAAATAACTCATTCATGAATAATTCATAAATAAATTTTCCATTAGATGTGTCAAAACTAATGACATCTATATAAACTACTATAAGTTTCTTTTTTGGATCTTGCTTATTGTACCATTGTTGAGTGAACATAAATAAGAAGAGCTAACCTACCCCATCTCAAAATAATAATAGATCACATAAAAATTACATAAAAATAATATAGTTTCATCACATAAAAATTATATTACATAATAATATAGTACATGAGAAAAAATATTACATATTTCATTGTGTTTGTTGTTAATTAAATTATTTAGAAGTTTAGCATGAAGAGATAGTTGTAATCAAATATACAACTTTTAGAATGTTTTGGTTTGGTGAGTCATATGTCTACTTCTCGAGGGATACTTCTTTGGGTTCTACTAACTACTACCCATGATTTTTTGGGATCAGCAACCCCTTTCTTGAATCTAGGATATCCCATTAGAGTTCATGGCTCTTGCATCCCTTCACACACAATACAAGCACACCACATAGCGAAACACTAGTTGAGACACTAGTGAATAGTTAGATACCATTGCCTTCGTCAACTTGTAGAGGCATGGGTTTTGAATAATCACTAGTTGAGACACATGTACAAGAGTATTGAATTTTGGTTGAATCTAAGTTGGAGATGGATGAGAAAGAGGTAAAGATTCTCATGTGCCATTTCATTTGATTTTTAACTTCATGATTTTTTTTAATTTTTATTTTGCATGTTCTAATTTTGGGTGATAAGTCATCTTTTGTCACTAGGCATTTTGGTCTAAGCCATCTTGTTTAATGGCTTGATGAAGTTGGACCACTTTCCTTCTTGGGCCTTAACACCTAGTTGTGATTTGGGTCATAATGTAATTTGGGACTTCAACAATTCTTTCATCTTAGGACTGCATGGATTATTGGAGCGGCACGACGCCCGCGCCGGCACGGTGTCTGCGTACGGCATGGCGCCCGTGCACGGCACGCGTGGGAGTTCATTGCTTATCAAGCTACCTCAATTTGATTTGAACACAAGCACATGGGATTAATCAAGGTGCATTTTAGTGGGCAAAGAATGAAGACTAACTTGGGCTAATTTAAAAAAATCAATGAAAGTATATCAATATATTGTAAAAATCATACAAAATTAAAACTTTGATACTTTTTCTATTTTATTCAAGGGTTGACTTCATTTTATTCCCTGTAATAAGATTTACTTTGTATTCTATTACATGTAAACTAACTAAATTTCCTGCCCATCATCAAAAGTAGTTTAATTCATTAACCCTAACACAAGCTTATAAAACTTCATACTTTAGAATACATAAAACATATTGCAGAACAATAAATGTTATTGAGACTAAAATGTTAGGATTTGATAATCAAAACTCAACCTAGGAGGTTAGTGAAGCTCTAATAAGATAAACCTGTCAGTCCGTACTTCCAAGGGCAGCTGATGCATCGAGAACCGCTCCTTGTGTACCATGCTATCTTTGGAATATGATTCAGCCAGAACTCAGTCAAGGACAAACTTGTTGAAGATATTCAACCCCCATTTAAGCTTGAATTGCCTCCGAGTCAATGATGCCATGCATCCGTACCCAAATTCATTATGTTGACTTTCGGCCTCTCTCAGAACTGTGCGGTGATGTACCCACCATATTTAGAAATTTCTGTTATATTTTTTGCGAGTGTGCAGTTTTTTTTTATTATGGGCTGGTTGAGAAGATCCTTCAGGGTTCTGAGAAACCACTACTTCCAGATCGAATGTTCTTTTACAATACAGCAGTTCTATGTTTACACGCGTTGACTTTGTTATCCCCGCTGGCCTGGTGCATCTCTCTCTCTCTCTCTCTCTCTCCTCCTCCTACGGAGATCTCTCTATCCGGAACCGGCAGGCAGAGACGACCATTCGCTAATTACTAAACGAGAGGGAGAGAGAGGGAGAGAGAGAGAGAGAGAGGCATCGCAGGACGAAGGAAACTTCTGTCGAACTTCACCGTAGAGTTAGTCATCGATTGATCGAGAGAGAGAGGTAGGATATTGTTTAGAAGATAAAGTAATGATATTTTTAAGAAGAATAAATGATTTACTGGTCGGACGTGGTCTTCTTCTCCGCAGGGTCGTACCGACAGAAACTGTCGGGTGGATCCCCCTCCGAGCACGATCGCGATCCATCGAAAAGCTGGCGGGAGAGATCTGGAAGCGGCTCTTCCCCGCTGGAAGAAGCATCAGTGGCCGGCGTCGGCCGTATCACGGCCCTCTACAGCCACCGGCGCAGTCAGCAAGGGCACCGGGAGGTAGTTCACTGGACCTTTATAGGCAGGGAGAACCCCTGTCCCAGTCTCCGTCGCCGCTGCCAGCGGCAAGTATGGTGTGCTGCCGCCGCGTCAACCCCTTTAGGTTCTGCTCTGGCCTCCGATTCCTTGGCTACTCTATGATCCTCCTTGTTGCTGCTGTCGTGGCCCTCTCGTACTACGCCGTTGTCGTCGTTGCCTGGGGCCCTCACCTTCTACGCGGGGGATCATCGTCTGTTCTGGCGTTCTCTGTCGTTATCATCTTCCACATTTTGGTAATCCTCCAGAGACATTTATGCTTTCCTGTGCTTGATGTACATTGTCCGGTATTTTCTCTGTGGATTTGATTTTGCTTGTATAATTTAGAGACTACTGATGTTCTTTTATAAATAACTAAATGCGCGAATGGTCTCCATGATAGTCAAAACGTTTGGTTTGAACAAGTACAGGCGAAGGATAACAGGTGACTACCAAGAAAGAGTCCCCACATTGTGCAGTGCTGTTTTCGTTCTAAACTAATTTGTCACGCTCGAATCTCATGCTCTGTTTCTCAACCTTCCACAGCAATTCAACATGGTGAATGTACCTGGTTTCTTCTGACTATTTCCCTCTTTGGTGCATCACGCTGTGTCACTGATATTGCTTCGAAAGTTCTCCCACTGTTCACTTTGCGCATTAAATTTTATATTTTTGATCAATCATTTGGGCCCTTAGAGGTGTAAAAAAACACATTCATCCGAGTAAAATATTGCTTGAACCTTGCTAGAAGTCTTTCGATTCTTGGACAAGGACTTATTATTCTTGTGTCACTGATATTGCCTCTCAGTTTCGAATTAGGACCCTTTCTTTGTGAGACCAACGTGAGAGCCGCTTAAATCATATAAATCCACAGTGGAAAAATAAAATTGAACTACCTTTTTCCATGTATTTTAATAATCGAGGTATATCCTTCCTGCAACTCTAAGATCTTGGAGCGCACACCCTCACTGTAGACGAATGAAGACACCGGGAATCAAATCGAAGTATTGAGCTATTGGTCGCCATTGCTGGCCCGCCACCTTGGGGGAGAAATGGAAAAAACAAGAAGACGTAGTACGAGAACAATATAAAGGATTTTGAAACCTGCATGGAAGTGCCATAAGGTTGGCCCATGTTTGGTATGGCATGATCAATTTTCGGTTCAAGTACCATGCAATTTCATGTTTAAGTTTTGATGCACGCATTCCCCTGGTTATTAACCATGAATAAGCACATTGATTAATTGGTTTGTTTAATGATGACATTTTTTACCTGCAGCTTGTACTGTTGATATGGAGTTATGTAATGGTTGTCATCAAAGACCCAGGGTCAGTTCCTGAAAATTGGAGGCCTATTCTAGACGAGGAAAATGTGGAGGTGGGCACCTCTGGTACTCTATCAGATATTATTGCTCCTGAACTTAGGGCTTCCTCCTGGTCTCCGTCAGGAAGAAGACCTGATATCAGCTATTGCAGTCGCTGTCAAAATAACAAACCGCCACGCTGCCACCATTGTTCTGTCTGTGAGGATACTTATTTTGAGTATGAGATGATTTATTTTAGTGACCGTTATTTAATGCAATCATCTCTCAATTCATTTTTCCTGGAAAATAACTGCGTCTCTTCCGTGCAAAGTATTCGCATGTTGAAAAGCTCATCTTTGTTTTTTGGGTTCTCATAACTTTCAGCAGAGATTCATGGAAAGTGAAAATTCCATAAAGAGATGTTGTTTATCCCTAAATGGAAGCTACGGAAATGATTGTGTTAGAATTTATTGAAACTTTTCATTTATTAAAGTATGCTTAGTTTATAGGTCAATATTAGAAAGTTTTGGGAAATTTGTGCATAAAAATTTCAGTGCAGGGATGAATTCTTGTAATGAACTCTTAGGTTAGCAAGTATTTGGTGAAATGAAATATACAGTACGCTCACGTGCTGTCATAATGCAAGAAAAATGCTTCTGAGAAGAGGTAGATGGCATCATTAGTTAGTCCAAGAAAAAAGGATGAAAGTGATCCAAAGGGATAAAAGAAAGCACAAAATTGTTCACTTTATAAATTCGGTTTAATAATTCCAATCCTTGATTCGAACAGAGACAAAATTAAGAACCCATCAAAAGAAAATTTTGTCTTGTTCCTATACAAGCCTTCTCCATCCCACTTATCCAAGAAATGAAAACAGTGGGGAAACTACCCGACTTCTTTCCCGAAATGGTGAAAATTCCTTTGAAGAAAAAAATATATCCCTGCCAAATGATCTTTTTGCGTCCATTATGCATCTCTAACCTGATATGCATGCCACGAATATTTACAACCTTACCAAGTTTAGCAGCTGAAAATGTACTACCTTATAATTTGTTGGGTTATTTTGGTGTCATTTTCGCCCCTCAATGCAGATGTTACATCAAAATTGTATATTTATCCCCGAAGTAACAGGGTTTGACTAGTGCAGCTTGAATTTTTCCGTGCATTAGAACAGTAGTAGTCGTCCTCACAATATATAAATTGCATAGGCTATAGCTCGTGTCTTAGCCCCCTCGTATCAAATATCTCTGTCAGCCACCGACCTTCTTGAACCCTCCCATTTTCTTTCGTATTTCCACTCTCTGTATTTGGTATGCTTGTGATCCTGGTGGTGGGGTGTTGGCTGGCGATGGAATTCATGTTCTTCACTCGGTTATGGATGCAAATTTCATTGCTTCTCAGGCATCAACAACTGCGATGTCTACAGAAGCACAGACATTGTTTCTTCTGCCAACTCTCCTTGCTTCCCTCTCCATCCACTCCACTCTCTTCCCTTTACTTAGGCCCAAAGTAATTCTGGTTAAAATGATCGGTGTGTGAGATTTTTTTGAAAATATCGATTTGATTTGTCTGCATATTCACCAAATGAAATGTTCAACTTAATTCCTTTTCGAATAAATATATGCATAAGTTTACCTTGTCTAGGCATAAATTGCCATGATTTTCTTTCCCGGAGGATGGCATGATGTACTTAACATCCAATGCCTTGTGCCTGTAGGTCAAAGATGTGTCCTAAAGATGGATCATCATTGTGTATGGGTGGTCAACTGTGTTGGTGCCCGCAACTACAAGTTCTTCCTTCTTTTTCTGGTACATCCAAACACTCTTCTCCTCAATTATTTCGGACCCAGTTGGTTTAGAAGATACTATTTATGGCTGCATTTCTCACTTTAATATCAATGTTTTCTTTGGAACCTCAACGAAATCTTGTGCTGCACTGGTCACCCTCTTCTCTCGTATTCAACAGGCGTGATTTGCATGCAATTCCTTCAACAGATGGGAGAATTTCCCTCTTGACTTTATCAGCGGTGAATTCTTTTATGACCATTTATGGAAACCCAAGTTGAAATCCTCCAGCCTTCATAATTAGTGCTCTTATCTAGGCCCATGTGAAGCATAAACAGTGGAAGAAGAGCAGATATCTCTGAAGTCAGACTTGGTAGTATCAGGATAATATTCATTGCTGAAAAACGTGGTACCTAAGTGGGTAGACTTTATTTGGTGGTATCTCAGTGTTGACTTTTTCCTTTTTGCCAATTTTGGGAGATGGTAAGCCTTTTTTTTTTCCCCCTCGCAACTAATGTTGAATATCAGTCGAGCAAAGGGAGGAAGCTCAGATCCAGGGAAGGTAGATAGTCAGAATGAGAATCTCTAGGCCGTCTACCCTGAATCCAACGATTAAAACTGAAACATTCACAAGGGTTTGGAAGCTCCAATTCAGCAGAAATCTTACTGCCAGGCAGAAGGGTTGAAGACTTCGTGAGGAACATAAATGGGCTTCTTTCTAAAATCGATCGTTCTCATGGAAGGTGGCCGGTAAAAAAAAAATCCCAATTCTGAGGGAATCTTGGAACACTTCAGATCACCGTTGTCGAGGGCGTGCTTTCCGCTGTGACATGCTTCTTCTCCCTGTGTTAACCAGGTGTATACCTTCCTTGAGACCTGCGTGGACACCATTGTGCTGCTTCCGCGATTCATCAGATTCTTTCAAGACGCCAAGATCCACTCCATTTCCCCTGGCAACCTCGCCGTCGTCTTCCTAGCCTTCGGTAATCCCCACCCCCTCCCCCCCCTCCTTCCTCATCACCGTCCTGTTCGATGGACTTACTTCTCGCGCTGTCCCCCTCCCGCAGTACTCAACTTAGCTTTTGCTCTGAGCCTCCTCTGCTTCCTCATCATGCACACGTCGCTCCTCCTGAGCAACACCACGACGATAGAGGTAACAACGCCGGCCATTCGACCGGATCTATCCATTTTCGTCTGATGTCGCCGCTTAACTCGACGTGTGACTCCAGTGATCTGCGCACAGGTCTACGAGAAGAGGCAGCTTCCCCGGTGGAAGTACGATCTAGGGAAGAAGAAGAACTTCGAGCAGGTGCGCCACCTCTTCCACCAAAACGGCATAGCTCGTTCATTCCAGCCGAGTAACCAAATCGCTCATCTTCCTCCATTTCAGGTCTTCGGCACCCACAGAGCCCTCTGGTTCCTCCCGCTGTATTCGCCCGAGGATCTGCAGAGCATTCCCTTCCTCCAGGGTCTCGACTTCCCGACGCGCCCCGACGAAGACGACGACGGTTAACACCCGCTTTTCCTTATCGGGCCACGGTCTTTAATTACGGGCTGTTGGGCCGGAGATCCGAATCGTGTTTATCGTTTCAGAATTTCCACGTGGCATTAGAAACAGGAAAAGCCAATAAATAATAGGGAGATGTTCACTTGCGTGACGTCAGATCTCTTTTAGTGGCCGCCGCCGAAAAGGAAAGTTCCATGAAAACTGCATCACACCCTCATCATGGAGGTCCGGATAAACTCTCCTCTCTCTGTCTCTGTATATATATATATATTTATCGACGGACATCTGAAAACGCGGAGTCCACAGGGTGATCGGCTTGTTCTGTCTTTGTACATGTGGAGGCTAGGATTCTCATCTGTCCTACGTGAATCAGTCAGTCGTCTTATTCCTCCGCTGACGTTGTGTGCTTCCTAGCCGTGGTATGATTTATGCGCTAGAAACGTTGCTCTGCAGCAGAAGCATTCACCGGAGAAGAAGAACCGGCGAACCTCGAGGCAGGTGTTTCAATGCAGGGGATGCGCCACTGGTAGGCCGGGAATGATTAGCGCTTCGCTGCCTGACTTCTGCCGGCGGGGATTGTCCGGTCCTTCTCAGCTCTCGCATTGTCTGACCGATCTCGTCCGTTGTCTGCAGAGAGGTGCGGGGAAGATCGGGAGGTAGGGATCGGCAGCCGCTGAAGTAGTGAACGAGAAGAGCGTTGGAGTCTCCCCGTTACTCGAATTGCTCTCGAAGCCCATCATCAACACCGACCTCTCTTCTTGTCCCCGATAGGAGATCTATTTTTCCCGAGCGCTGAGAGGCGGAAGATGAGCGGGATGGCGCCGGCGACGGCGCGGACGAGGGTGGGGCCCTACGAGCTCGGAAGGACGCTGGGGGAGGGGACGTTCGGCAAGGTCAAGTTCGCTCACCACACCCGCACCGGAGACATCGTCGCCATTAAGATCCTCGACAAGGACCAAGTCCTCCGCCACCAAATGGTCGAGCAGGTAGGCTCCCGCCATCTCCGTATCTGTACACTCGGTCTCTTCACCCCTGCCATGATCGCACATTTATTTGGTGATTAGCATTTTCTAGAGTTAACGTATCGGATATCAATTATTCCCGGGTGCTAATTATGGATTGGCACCTGGTCAACTCTGTTCTCTCTCCCTCTCTCTCCTCTCGTTTGCGCCGTTAGCCGGCGGCGATGGTGGAAACGTGGCGGCCCGAACGGTGGACCGACAGAGAGGATATCACGGCCCTTCTCTCCCCCTCTCCATCATGTCCATCTGCACCGTATCTCTCCCGCCGCCCCCTCCCCAGATAGAAGTAGTGAGAGGGAAGACAGAGAAACAGGGCCATCGGCCGTTTCCCTTTCCTACCTCTCTCCCTCTGCTCATCCTCGACGGTACAATCCGACTAAAGATGCATTAACAATATGAACCCTTTCAAGTATTCTAATATTGCTTCTCTTTTCTATTCATTTAAAACGTTATGCATAATAAATTGGACATTATCGAGCAGCTTGGAAATCCTTTGAACGTTATCGAGCAGATAGATGGTTTTTGTAATTACTAGTTCAGAGATTGGAGGGCTCATATTCAGCTTATGCTGATGTGTTCGTCATCATCAGTATGCCTTTTTTCTGAGTAAATCTTACAAAGCTTTTGTGTTTTTGCCAGATAAAGAGAGAAATCTCCACTATGAAACTAATCAAGCATCCAAACGTAGTCAACATCTATGAGGTATTGTGGAATTGGTCTCCTGTTTACACGGCTACTAACACACTGGATCTGTGATCCTGATGTTTGCCTTTAATTTTTTAATGCAATAATTAGCTAAAAAAATGTAATCCAGCCATGTGATGCCATATTTTATTATTTGTGGTTCCATTATAAATTTAGCTCTGTCATGTAATGTTTATCATCTATTATTGTCTGTCCTCTCTCACTTCATCAGATAAATAATTTCCTGCTTTATGGGTTACTAAATAATATAGGTCACTTTCATCAAATATGTTATTATTTTATTTATTTTAAATAAAATGGAATCATTATTTTACTTGTATGCTCGGTAACAATAGATTGGCCATTAAGTGAGTTTTTATTCATGCAATGTACTTACACAATTTCATTACCAACCCTAGGTGATGGGGAGGAAGACGAAGGTATATATTGTTCTTGAGTTCGTAGATGGAGGTGAACTATTCGACAAAATTGTAAGTTTTCCTTGTTTCTGAAAAATGACGGAATTAAATATCGGTTATGCTCTTCCAGTTGATGTTTGCCTCAATTTTTTTCACTCTTGTGAGTACTACCGATTATAATTTTTTTTTATGCCATTAATGAGTAGGCTAAACTTGGAAGGCTCAAAGAAGACGAAGCTAGGCGATATTTTCAGCAGCTTATCAATGCTGTGGATTACTGTCACAGCAGAGGAGTCTACCACCGAGATCTGAAGGTTCAACAGTGATTTTTGGCTTCTTTTATTGTTTTAACGCGTCTGAATTTTTGGATTCCCCTTTTCTTAAGTTTTTTTCGTATTCTGATGATTTCCTGTTCCTTGCAGCCCGAAAATCTTCTTTTGGATTCACATGATGTCCTCAAAGTTTCAGATTTTGGCTTGAGCGCATTTTGCCCAAAAATGAATGTAAGAATTTTCTTTCTTCCCATTGGAGCAAAATCACCCCCCTGAGTCTCTGAAAGGCTACGCACCCAACTTATTTCAGCCCCATATTTCTTGGTTTTTTTTTCTGTTTTTTTCTTCTTACATACGTCGTTATTTTTATTTTCATTGATTCTGATTTTATTTATATATAATTATAAATATTCCCATAGTTTGCTTTATTCATTCAAGGGGCTATAACTTTGGCAAAAACAAAAGCTATAAATATTTCCTTGGAATCTTATCCAATGTACCATTGCAGGAAGATGGGCTACTCCATACTACATGTGGAACCCCGAATTACGTTGCTCCTGAGGTATAAACCTCATTCTTCGTGTTCTCTTCCTGACAGGAGATCCCACTCTGCAGCTTCTGATGCGTTTACTCTCTCAGGTACTCGATAACAAAGGGTATGGCGGAGCAGCAGCCGACGTATGGTCCTGCGGTGTAATTCTCTTTGTTCTCATGGCTGGTTACTTGCCATTTGATGAGCCAAACCTTATGGCTTTATATAAAAAGTTTAGTATTTTTATAGCATTCTTCCACCTTTTTCTTCACTGGGTCTATTCGAAAGAAGACGAACTCATGTTCAGATATGCAAAATGCAGATCTATAGAGCGGACTTCACGTGCCCGCCGTGGTTTTCTTCTGGTTCAATGAAATTGATCAAGTCCATACTAAATCCAAACCCACTCACCGTAAGTTTCTTTACTTAATCCATTATTTGTAAAGATAATGACTGCCAATGTCTGCACTTTGACCAAGTTATCTTGAATTATATTCACGGTTACTTCCTAGTTATCCTGCCTTCACATATAATCTGATTCTATCGGTGTCTTCAATGCAGAGAATAAAAATTTCAGAAATCCTGGAAAATGAATGGTTTAAGAAGGGATATAAGAGTCCGGATTTTGAGAAAGGGAAGGAAGTCAGCCTCGATGATGTTGACGCTGTGTTCAATGATTCGGAGGTACGACCTTGTCAAAACCCTTCTCTTGACCTTCAGAGGTGGAAATTTAATATCTATATATATAAATATATGTCCGTCAACATCTTGAATTTTTTTAACGATGATCGCCGTTTACATTTCCTCCATAGGAGCACTTTGTTATGGAGAAGAGAGAGAAACCTGAATCATTGAATGCGTTTGGGCTGATCTCAAAGTCACAAGTCTTTAACCTCGGAAAACTATTCGAGAATGATGCGGTACGTTGACTCGCTGGATGCATGGTCGTCTAGGCCTAGTTAGTCACCATGGTAGATTCGAATAGCTCAAGTTCACTTACGGTAAGACCCATTTGCTTGCTTACCACCAAAGCAGATAATGGATGAAACTAAGAAATTTCATGTGTTTAGCTCCATTTCCTGATCAATTGAGCTAAAACTAGGAAGAATAAAAGGAATTACTTTTTTAAGAAAACGTAATATTTTCTGTCTTTCTCATGGATCACATCTGTTTAGAAGAAAAGAAAAGAAATTAAGAATATGCAATCTTCTGCCCCTTGTAAGCCCGCGTTTCTTGACTCACTCGTCGCATTCTGCAGGCTGCCATCAAGAGGGAGACACGGTTTACTTCCCGATGCTCTCCAAACGAAATACTATCTAAAATCGAAGAAGCTGCCAGGCCCCTTGGTTTCAACGTGCGTCAGCACAACTACAAGGTAATATCATCGCTGACTTGGGATCGTGGTTATCATTTGAAATGATACAAATATCAATCACACGTTGTTCAGATGAGGCTGCAAGGTGACAAGACGGGAAGAAAGGGATGCGTATCTGTGGCTACCGAGGTACTCTGAGTTCTTCCTCTTGTGCTCTCCCCAGATGTTCATTTATTTAGCCTTTTGGATGAATTTTGATGAGAAAATGGGATGGTGATCAGATATCGTATCATAGAATGTGGGTGATCTTGGTCTTATGACCATGGTTTTTGTCTATAAATATAGTTATCTGGGTATAATAGTTGGTGATCTTAGCCTATCAGCATGGTTTTTAGGGCATCTTGCACTAGAATGCAGGGTATAAAAGCTGCTGATGTTATTAATATGTAGCAGTATGGATCTTCGTTAATTGCATCATTAATTATGATTCAATATCTTCGCATATAGAAGGATTTAATATCTTCATATTTGTGTACTTTTTTATTGTATTTATCTAAATATACTCTTAGAGACCTCACCTAGCGTGTACCTGAGATGATAGAATATGTCTTTAATTGACTGATATGGTCCATAAACAAACCAACAAAATAATATCTAAAATATAAATGACCATTTGACTTAGTTTTAGCGTTGACCTTCTGCCGACTATTTTGATGATTCATGAAAAAAATTATATTACGCAAACGCATATTTTAAAACTGGCCCACAATTTTTTTTGTTCAAATTCATGTCACTTTATCATTATTGACTTTGCCCCTCCTCTGTTGACTTGTGATCCTTTCATCAGGTCTTCGAAGTGGCCCCTTCTCTCCACATGGTTGAAGTCCGCAAGACTGCTGGTGACACTTTGGAGTTCCACAAGGTAAGCTATTTATCTATATATATATATATATATATAGATCTATGTAAATATAGAAAATCTGGGTTTAATTTGATGGATCTGGGTGCTCGTGTCTCAAAACCAATGGCAGTTCTACAAAAGCTTCTCTTCAGGCCTGAAAGATATCGTGTGGAAATCTGAAGCCAACGCCGAGGAGGAGAAGAGGGGGTAATCGAGAAACCTTTGCCATTTATGCCATTTTTTTCTGATTTACCCCTATCTTTTTGAGACAACGCAATCTTACCCTTGGGGTTTATTTTATTTATTTTATTAGCAGGTCTTGACAAAGCCTCTGGGGAACCGTGGGGGCAGGGGAGGACTCGGCTGCGGGTCGGGATCGGATCGGCCAAATCGGACGGATGATTCGATCAGGAACCGGGTTCTTCGAGTCAGAACGCGCGATGGCGATCCCGATTCGAGACGGCCGACCTCGATCGGAATCGGTTCATCCTCTGTAACGGCCTCTGTAGGAATATTCATCTGGGGTGTTAGAATATTCGGTCGGATGAAGCAAGTAGATAATCTCCATTTTCACGTCGCTGACGGGCCTCTTCAAATTACCGGCCCGATAGCCAGGCTCATGTCTAGACTGGCCCATTAGCCTTGGCCCATTAATCGTGCGTGGCGCATCATCGGAAAATGTACACGTGTATGGTCCAGATTCATCTGAGCGCACTGGAATTGGCCGGAGGGCGAAGTAATCTGACACGTCCGGTCGGACGTTTAGGTCGAATCTGCGCTGGGTTAACCAAGTGGATCCGAGTCGAATCCGAGTCTGGCCCTGGGCTCGGTTAGATAGACCTTGCCGGCGCGTTGCCTCAGTGACGGGAGCACGGTCGCCCTTGCCTCCGGCGATCGAGCTGCGGCTGATCCCGGCGAGGAGAAGAAGAGGGGATTTGCAGGAGTAGAGGAGAGGAGAGAAGAGAAAAGGAGAGGAGAGGAGAGGAGAGCCGATGGGATATCTGTTCAGGGTGAGGATGTCGTCCTTCTTCGCAGGCGCCGCCGTGGCCTCTGGATTCGGCTTCTATTTCCTCTACAAGGATTACAGGATCGCTCAAGAGGCCATCTCCCAGCAGGTGAGCTCCCTCCTCCCTCTCTCGATCTGGAATCTGTTTTTACCTGGGGTCGGTAGTGAGTTGATGGTCGATATCTTCGGAGATACCGTATCCTGTTCTTCCTCTTTTTCCTTCGAAGAAATTGTTCCGTCTTTTGGTGGAATTCAGAAGAATGGCTAACCTCTTCCCCTGATCTCCAAACTTCGATCCCTTATTCGGATCGAGGTCTAGCCCCTACGCAGTCCGAGCACCCCTGATGCTGTTGAAATGTTGCCTTGTTTGATGTATTGGCCGCGCATTTGCCCAAGATCGCCTATTTCGTCTCGAAGTTGTCGACATCTTCCGCGGCGGATGTTCTTCGTCGTCTTCGTGTTACCTTATCATATCAATGTTTTTTTCTTTTTTTCCACTATCGTACAGAAAGATTTGTCTCGTCTTTCATGATTCGCTAGATTTAGGCCACTTTGATACCAAGGATAACGGAAGTTTCTTCAGTTTCATCGTTCTACCTGTTTGAGATTCCCCTTTTTATTTTTCCTTTAGCTCTGCGTTTCCTTCGATTCCACCGTTAAGTCTGCGAGCTCAATTTCTCTGATTGACGTTACCGAGGGAAATTCTGGTAATGTTCAAGTGTCCAAGTATACCAATTTTTGCACCATTCATTCGCTGTTTATTTTCATTATCCTGTAGACGGATCAACAGCTAAGAGCGGCCAACCTACTGAATTCTTGTGTTGTGGTTGTCATGTATCCATCACCTGTAGATTTCGGGACCCTCAAGTCTTTGTGTAGGGATCAGTTCATCCGCATTCATCTGAATTTCTAAGTCCCCAGGCAGTGGATCATTTGGCATCATAGAATGTGAGAACCATCGTTGAGATTGGAGGAAATGAACAGGATTGGTAGTAGACAATCAGCACGGAAGATGATCAAGAACTTTACAACAGCAAATAAACGTAGCCTCTAGGGTTCTTTTAGGAGATAAGACACTGATGCAAAGAACAGATGAGATAAAAGCTTAACCTGCTTCTACCAAGTCAGTAAAAGATTAGAAAGCTTCAACCGTTTCTTAGACTTTGACTTTGAGTTTATCTTTGACTCAAAGTCAAAGATAGACTCAAATATGGAGAATCTGGAGATATGAGGAATCTATCTTTGACTTTGAGTAGACTGGCTTACCTAAAATATTCCAGCTTCCACGCTCCCCGTTTCTTAGGATTGAGCACAGAAGCGTGCCTGTATTGCCAGTGCAAGCTGATTCTAAATTATGATCGGAGACAGCTTTGCCTCCGCAGAAAGTTCGATGCTGTCCATATTTTCTTGGACCCCTTATCTGGGTTTCTTCATGAAAGGAGGTTGCAATGGTGGGTCTCAAAACCATGAATCACTAGGTTTCAAGAACAGTGTTTAGGAGTAGATCTTCACCTAACTACATTGGAATAGAAGAGCACATATGCGAGGATCCTGATTTGAAACCGTCGCCATTAATGGGAAGCTCCGCCTGCACATTATGCTTGTCAGGCTTTCAGCTGGGCTTTGCCATGGTCACATAATATGCAGAGTTCCTCAAAACAAATGGACATTTGCTCCTTCTCTAGCGCAGGCATTTGCAGTTCTTCGAGGTCTGGAAGTCCATCTAATCTTCCGGCAGACTCTCGTGGTCTTAAGGCTACACAGTTTGCCCTTTTGAGACGTTCTCAGTCTCCACCCCGTTGGAGTGGGATGGCGAGTTGACCACTTACTCTACTTCTCCCCCTTGACTTTTTAGGCGAAAAGCGTCTACGAATCCTTGGACGCTCGCGTGACTGCGCTCGAAAGCTTGAAGAAGGCAGACCCGGTGGCGACCCATATGGAAGCTTCGGAGTAGGCTGCGCCGGGATCAAGGTCTGGCGGCGGCGGGATCTTGTTTGGGGGCTTCAGGGCATTCCTCTGCGCACCAGTTCGCGTCCTCTGCGGAGGAGTTGTGGTGTCCAAAGCCCCGTGGGCATGAACCCGCGTTGACTTTCCCCCCCGTAATTCCCCACTAGTGCCTCCAGCGCAGAGCTTCCGTGTATGCACTCGATTGAATCCCTTGAAACGCCGTTTGTTCGACAGAAGTTTCTTTTGCTGGGTTCTAAGTTTTCAACAGGCTGTTCCCCGGGTATTTAGATTATTCCCATTTCGGGCTCCCTCTTATCCTGCGACCACTGTAAGTCAATCTTCGTTGACTTTCCGCCCCCTAGTTCCCAATTAGTGCCTCCAGCACAGAGCTCCCATGTATGGACTCCCCCTTGAAACGCCGTTTGTTCGACAGAAGTTTCTTCTGATGGGTTCTAAGTTTTGAACAGGTTATTCTCTGGGTATTTAGATTATTCCCATTTCGGGCTCCCTTTTATCCTGCCACCGCTGTAAGTCAATCTGGGTCGACTTTCCTCCCCGTATTTCCCCATTAATGGCTCCTGCGCAGAGCTCCCATGTATGGACTCCAATGAATCCCTTGAAACGCCGTCTGTTCTACAGAAGTTTCTTTTGATGGGTTATACGTCTTCAACAGCCAGTCAGTCTTCCACACACAGACAGCATGTCCTCCTGGTACAGATTATTCCCATGTCGGCTCCTTATCCTGGAATCGCTGTAAGAAGTCAATCTGGATTTGACCGGAGGCAGAGAGGCCAGGGATCTATCCACGTGGGAGAACGTGGCCGCCATCTCCCCGTCCTCGCTTGTGGCTGTGAAGCCAACAGTCTCTCGTGGGCCTCCTTCCACGGAGATGAAGTGAAGATCTTTTCCTCATCTATCCCAGTGATTGAGAGACTGAGTGAAATATGTAGCAGGCGGCCCTCCGGTGGTTTTGGTCTGCCTGAGGAAGAGGGGGGTCGATGGAACTGCTGAGCGCCCCGGCGGGCAGGTTCCCAGCGGCGAGCTTCCGCCGGAGACGTGCCGGCCGCAGCGCGTTCCGCTGCGCCATCGCGGAGCCGTCGGGTGTGCCGGCGCCGCTAGGGCAGAAGACGCAGTACAGAGACGGCTGGTTCGCGAAGGTGTTCATGGGCCTGTTCGCCCGCAAGATGGAGAAGTTCGCTTCCGGTGGCATAACGACCAGCAAGGGGATTGGGGACTGGGACTACGAGAGCTTCGTCGACGTCTCCCGGAGGGTGATGATGGGGAGGTCGAGAAAGCAGCAGCAGGAGGCGGTACGGGAGGTGCTCCTCTCCATGCTTCCCCCGGGGGCCCCCGCTCAGGTTCGTCGTCTTCCTCCTCGCCGGAATATCATCGGCGGCGCTCCTCTGACTCCGCCGCCTGCTTGATTAATCGTATCTCCGGTTCAGTGCAGTTCAGGAAGTTGTTCCCTCCGACGAGATGGGCGGCCGAGTTCAATGCGGCCCTCACAGTGCCCTTCTTCTACTGGTTGGTCGGCCCATCTGAGGTATCCCCCTAATCTTCTACTGCCTGGTTCTGCCCATCTGTTTCTTCCATGGGCTTCTTCTTTTGGACTGGAACTTTAGCTGCGAGAATAAGAATGTGGGTTCTTCCTGGTTACATCATTTCCATCCCCTCATAATGTTCTTGGGGCGCGTTGACTTGGTGTTTGCTAGCCCTTCCGATTCCCTGCCATTTTAACCAGGAAATATGGTGATGAGGCTACTTTTATCTACTCCATTTCTTGCTCTGAATGGTGAGCAGGAAGAAACAAGAATTGCGGATGTAGAGTCTGATTTTCAGATTAAAACGACCAATTGATGGTAAATGGTAGGATTCGACAGGGGAAGAACAACTGTTTTGAAGGCGCCTGGGCTGCTCGACCCAGGTTGCCAAAAGGGGGAAACTTGATAAACTTTATTAGCTTGCGCAAGAACATCAGGGTCTAGATTTCGCCATATATCTGATGTAAATTCTGAAGGCATCCTTTCTCGTCTGATCCTCTTGAAGCAATACCTCCTGATTATCGATATGGGCGTCCAGATTTGCTGAGTAATTGATGTTCTCAGGTGGTGGAAGTGGAGGTAGACGGGGTCAAGCAGAAAAGCGGAGTCCACATAAAGAAGTGCAGGTGGGTTGCTCTCTACTTCCTAATTTTGGCAAAAAAATAAAAATAAAATTATTTCGGAGTGCATCAGACCAGAAAGGAAAACAGGGTTGACCCTGAAGCCCAAAGCCCCTTCTTGTCACTTCACCAACCCCTCACCTTCTTGGGTTTTATTTGTCAACGCAGGTACCTGGAAAACAGTGGCTGCGTCGGGATGTGCGTGAACATGTGCAAGATTCCCACTCAGGACTTCTTCACCAACGAGTGCGGCCTCCCGCTGACTATGATCCCAAGTAAGCCGCCGTCCTTGGCCAGAACTTACTTCTCGGATACATATATGTAGATAACTCGGCGGAGTGTGGGGAGAATCGGACGCCTTCACTGGCGCAGAAATGAAGCTCCTTTCTGCATCTGGTCAGAGAAACAACACAGTGGGACAGATTAATGAAAAATAAGGGATTAATAATTATTTATTTATTTAATTAATCTTTTGGAGCACTTGGGTTCAATTGCTTCGAGTTCGGGAGCCGTAAATGGATCTCCTTTTCTGCAGATTTTGAAGACATGAGCTGCGATATGGTGTATGGCCAGACCCCGCCGCCTCTCGAAGAGGATCCCGCGGCGAACCAGCCCTGCTACTCGAGCCTCTGTAAGTTGGATAAAAAGCCCGGTTTTTCTTCTTGACCCATCTCACGAATTGCTCTCTTCTGACCGAAGAAGCTCGTCCTGCAGGTTCTGTGGCTAATCCGAACTCCCCGGTCTGCCCGAAGCTGCAGAGCTGAGGAAGCTCGCCCTTTTTCTCAATCCCTGGAGACCCATTGCTTGAAGAATGCATGCACATAGGCTCCCCCCTCCCGATGTAAATGCGGCCAATTTGCTCGACAGATGAGTCGAATTATTGAAATAAATGACGATATAATCACCATTCCGGAAAACCCATGTTTTCGTATATTTACTTTCATTTTTATTCGCTTCTTTATTGACGTAGCTTCTCATTACGGGTAAATAAACCATTTTCAAAATATTTCTTTATATTTTCTTATTATGCGTGGTAGGAAATACTGTTGAATTATTGTTATTATTATTATAAAAATATTATTTAAAATTTATTTGAGGCGGGATTTATCTCGTGATTTCGGTAGCGGGTGCCGGATCCGATCCTATAGGCTCAGTTAGGATCCGATGTTAGCATTGCCACATCCACCTTGTGGGTCCGATGGGCAAGCAGAGGCGGTGATAAGGACGCGGTACCCTCCCGGTGGGATCCACCGCCATCGACGGGGACTGAGGGGGCTCTCCACCGACAACTTCGCCGACATCGTCTCGTCTTCTTCTCTGAGGGGAGTTGCAGGGGGCGCCCGCCGGCGAGCACGAGCGGAGGGGAAGAGGAGGGGGAGGGGATCCTTTGTGCCTTGGAGGGATTCAGGATTAGGGATTCGAATGTTGATCTCCTTGCGGTCTGGATTTCCAGATCGGCCCGCCGTCGCCAGAATGTCGGCGGCATTGCTCGTCGTGCTGCTCGTTGCGCTGTCGATCCCGCCGGCGGCTGCTGAGATCCGGTTCACGGAAATAAGGTCGGACGAGAGGCCAGTCATCCCGTTCGACGAATTTGGTTTCAGCCACAATGGAGTTCTGGAACTCAATGTCTCGGGGATCGCTTACTCCGACCCCAACCCCGATATGGATCTCTCCCAGTTGGGGTTCTTCCTCAGCACCCGCGACGCATGGTTCCACGTACTCCAGCAGATCCAGGACTCGGAGATCACCTGCGTCCTCCAATCCCGCCTCGTGAAGAACGTCTTCACCTTCGACCACCTTCCACGCAAGGGCGACGTGAACGGTGCTGCCACCCCTCCCCCTGCCGATTCCTTCGGTGTCGTCTTCTCCGAGACGGATCCCGGCCAGTTTACCGTCGTTTTCGCCAATTGCCTCTCTCAACAGCAGGTCTCTATGAACGTCTTCTCCTCAATGTACAACAAGGATCCTCGCACCGGTGGCCGGGATTACTTGTCAGCTGGAGCCACCATGCTTCCTCGGATATACTTCCTCCTGTTCTTGGTTTACGCATTTCTCGCTGGCGTCTGGGTCTTTATCCTCTACAAAAAGCGTCTGACGGCCTTCCGAATCCACTATTTCATGCTCGCCGTGATTGTGCTCAAGGCGTTCAACCTTGTCTGCGAGGCCGAGGACAAGTCCTACATCAAGCGCACCGGCAGTGCTCATGGCTGGGACGTGCTATTCTACATCTTCAGCTTTCTCAAGGGGATTACCCTCTTCACGCTCATCGTTCTGATCGGCACCGGATGGTCCTTCGTCAAGCCATTTCTACAGGACAAAGAGAAGAAGGTGATCATGATTGTCATCCCTCTCCAGGTGATTGCTAACATCGCGCAGGTTATCATCGACGAAACTGGTCCCTTCGGTCGGGACTGGGTCACCTGGAAGCAGGTCTTTCTTATGGTGGACGTCATCTGCTGCTGCGCTGTCCTCTTCCCGATTGTCTGGTCAATCAAGAACCTCAGGGAGGCTGCGCGTACTGATGGGAAAGCTGCCGTGAATCTCATGAAACTGACACTGTTCCGTCAGTATTACATTGTCGTCATATGCTACATCTACTTCACCAGGGTTGTGGTGTACGCGTTGACCACCATCACCTCGTACCGCTACCTGTGGACCAGCATTGTCGCGGGAGAGTTGGCAACTCTTGCCTTCTATGTCTTCACAGGCTACAAATTCAGGCCCGAGGTGCATAACCCATATTTTGTTATCGCTGATGACGAGGAGGAGGCTGCAGCCGAGGCGTTGAAACAGGATGACGAGTTTGAACTATAAGATCTGCCACATTTCGGCAAGGAAGGACTGTTATCTCCTTCTCAGTTTAAGTGTTCATAGAAGTATTTGGTTTCAGCAGATGGTTGGCGTTATTAGATTACTTGATATCAACATTTGGACTTGTCACCTAATGAATGATCTTTTGGAGCACATGGAGATCTTGTTCAGCGACAGTCTATAGTATTATCCTTTTTTCTTTTTCTTTTTTTCTGTCATTTGCTACAGTTTTTACCAGATATTAATGCTATTGATTTATTGGTCATACTCTTTTTCTGGATCTATGCTCAGCATTCACCACCCTTGCATCCTCTTTTTCTGGATCAATTATCATAGTTTCATTTTCAGCTCTTTTCAATCCAAGCTAGCGTTGGATCTGTTGCCATTTTCACCTGCTGCAAAACCATTTTAGTACAGGTATATGAGCTCAGGCAAGATCCGCAAGAGGAAAGAAAACTAGGGTTTTCGGAGATCTTTGACTTCAGACACTTCTTCATCCCATATTTGGGCATTATCTTCTTGGCATTTTTCTTACAAATGAGAAACCAATATCAACAGAAACCATGCTGATGCAAGTGGGTACAACACCTCAAGCACAGACTCATGTTTGATGAGAAGCCCCTGGAACTGTTCTCCCTGGACTGTTTTGAAATCATCTACATGGCCCGTATCCCTCCGGGGATGGGTCCCAAGCTCAACCACCACTCCAAGGGAAGAGAAAGCACAGCCCAGTCATCACGTCAAGAACAGCCCCTGCGCCACGGTCAGCGCAGGGTCGGCTCTTTTTATATTGAATGCCCCCACTTGAGCTTACATGATCCCGGGAGTCATTTATTTCCTTACATTTCCCCTCCTACCTCTTCAGATTGCGACTAGTTTTTTACGGTGTTCTTGCTGGCCGGCCTTCTTATTTCCCACCGTCGCCTCTGTTTATGAGCATCTCCGGCTGTGTTCCTCACTGTAGGTTGGGACCCTCTCTCTCTCTCTCTCTCTCTCTCTCTGTCTCTCTCTCTCTGTCTCTCTAAAACCTGGGTTCATTTGACCCATTAATAAATCTGCTTTCTTGAAACCCGCTAATCCGGCCCACTTAGGAATCTGCAGCACTGTGAAATCTTGGATCATCAGACCCATTGAGAAATCTGCTCCACTCCCCTCTCTCCCATTATTTTCTGCCGCCGCCGTCTCCGACCGCCGCCTGACGGCGGCAGACGGCGGGCAGAGATCTGCATCATAGATCTCTCAACCATCGCTTCCCCTCCATTACCCATCCGCTCCGCCGCCGTGCTCGGTCGGCCACTAATTAATAAGAAATACTACTTTAAAAACATTTCGCGGGCTGTAAAATATTAAATACGATTAAATATACTATTTATTCCCTCCTGTAGAAGAAGTATTTATTATTTTTTTAATCCTTTTTTTTAAGAAACGAGGCTCTCGCCTCATTAATGCCACTCTGCTCAAGTGGGTCAACGGGACTCCCTGTTGACTCCTCCAAGGTCCCAAGAACGCCGCATAAAAAACTTACTGCAGCTGATTACCGTGGCATAAAGACAATAAATTTAGGCACCGAGGGTTAATATCATAAATGAAAATGAATTATTGTGGCGAATCATTGGAGTAATTCTGGACATTAACGGCAGTAAGCTCGAAGAAACAGACCGAGAAAGTACAGCGTTATTAGACAACCCAAGTGGGCTCTTGCGGATGACCGATGCCGGTGACGTAACGACGAAGACGACCGAGTGTGCGTGCGTACGGCTGCGGTCGTCCTTCTCGAGAAAGTTATGTGTGCATATCCTCGCGAAAAACTGAATTAGTGCATGTATCCTCACGCGCGGGCATGTTTCCAATGGATGGGGTATATATGAAATAAAATAAATGACAGGTTTTCGCGGTGACCCAGAATTCCATCGTCTTCTTCTCCGGCGCCGACGTCATCTCAGGCGGCGGCGGAGCTCGGTGGTGGAGGAGGGCGAGACCTCTCCGGGAAGGCTTTCCGCGCAGGAAGAGACGGTAGATCTCTGCTCCATAGTGCTCTTGAAGCTGGGGCTACGCAGGCTCTGCGAGAAGTCCACCACGCGGCCGCCGCCGGCGAAGTAGCCGTCGGAGACGGGGAAGGCGAGGCGCTTCCTGACCGTTGCGGCGGCGTGTTCCCTCTCCGGGGTGGAGGGCCGATGCCTTGGCGTGCTCTGAGACCGGAGCCTGGCCTTGGCCGACTCTGTCGCCGCCATGTAGTTGGGCACGGCGGCGGAAGTTTGGTGATGGCGCAGCCCGCCGGAGCCGTAGTAATGGTAGTAGGAAGAGGGGCGGGGAGTGTAGGCCGGCGGCGCCGCCAGGCGGGGGCTCGCGGAGCGCACCTGCAGAGGGCGAACTCTCGCCGGCGACGGCGTGGAGGGGGAGTGTTGGAGCTGCTGCTGCTGCGAGGACGATGACCGAAGAGGAGAAGCGAGATGGGGCGGCGGCGCCGGCGGCCGGCGGGAGGTCGCCGGCCAACCGGTGTCGACCTCCAGCGTCTTGATGGGGAGCACTCTCTGGTCTGTGGAGGCCCTCCTTCCTCTGTTCCCGAAGCTCTGATCCCACGAGCCCCTCGCCAGCGCCCACCGGTCGACGCAGGTGGAGGCCCTCCGCTCCTCCAAAGCGGCGGCGGCGCCGTCGTCCTGCTCGTCGCCGATGGACATGGATGACGTGAGGTTCCTGTCCGACCTCCATATCTTGACGCAGGAGAAGAAAAAAAACCAGGGAGATTCTCAGAGGAGCGGCGATGGCAGAAGGCAAGTCACGGCGGGGGAGGAGGAGGACGAGGAGGAAACCTGCTGGGAGAAGGCGTAGGCGAGGGCCCTCTCCCTCTTCATCGCCTGGATCTCCTCCGCATCGTCCGCCACGCTGCTGCCGTCCCTCGACTGTAGCAAGCAGCATCAATGGCGGAGGGGTGAATTCACAGGGAGAACGAGTACAGACCCACGAAGAAGAAGAAGAAGAAGGGGCAGTCGCAGAACTTGATCTGTGGGGTGTAGTAGTGTAGTAGTACCATGGATCTCCAGTCGAAGATCTCTGGCGGAAATCTGGCTTCGGAGAGGTTGGTGTCGCAGCTGAAGGAGGACTTGCTGCCGCCGCCGCCGTAGCTGGCGGAGCCGCCCCCGCCCTCTTGAGAAAGGCGGAGGCGCTGGTCGCGCACCCGCGCCTGCACTCGTACGAGGGCCTGCATGCAGCGGAGGGTCATGTTGGCCTGCCGCCGCACGTTGTGGCCCCTAACCAGAGCCTGCAACTTCACCAGGCCCCGCAGCGCCCTCAGCGCCCTCCTCGCCTGTCATTGCAAGAAAGAAGAAGAAGAAGATCAGATCAGATCAGATCTCTCAGCCGGGGAACTGGGCGTGAAGAAGGGGAGAAATGTGCACCAGGTAGCCCCGGAAGGCCGTCTGGATGGCCACCGCCGCTCGCTGCTCCCTGAAGAAGGTCGGGGGAGGCTGGCTCTGCCGGCCCACCTCCGCCGCTGGCTGGGCCGTCGGCGGCGGCGGCGGTGTCACCACCTCGGCGGCGGCAATGGCGGGCTCTTCCGTCGGCTGCCGGGTCGTCGCCAACTTCACCTGGGGCGGATCGTGGACGGAGGAGGAGGGCTTGCGGAAGAGCCATCTCCTCTTCTCCCTCTTCTGCGAAAAAACCGACGCATGGATTAAATGGGGGAGAGGAGGAGATCACTGTGGTGGGCGGGAGGAAGACGAAGACCGAACCTTCTCCTCCTCTTCCTCCTCCTGTTGCTGTTCATCTCGTTGATGACCGGCAGCCTTCCTGTCGGAATCCTTGGAGGGTGACCGGAACGCCCTCTTGACCGCCGTCAGCCATGAGTTCCCCCCTTTCTTTCCCATGAGAAAACCAGGACGAGTCACCAAGTCCTCTTCCCCTCACGCCATCGCCGCCGCCACCATGGACGATGCGGCTGTGCAGAAAACGAATCACAGTCCCCTCCCTCCTCACTGTTGCCTTCCCCTCCTCTGCTTTAACTCCAAAGAAAAGGAAAGCCGGCGTAGAGATAGAGATAGAGAGAGAGAGAGAGAAAGAGAGAGAGAGCTAAGAGAGCTACAGGGAGGCGCTGGCGTAGCAGTGCAGGATCAATCAACTACTCCGGGGATCCATAAAAATTAGGCCGATTGCAGAGGAAACGACGGGGAGAAGCTGACGGATTAGAAGATAACTCTGAAGCTGTCAGTTGCCTACCGAATTCGAACTCCCGGCTGATTCGATTCCACCCCCTCCCCTCCATCGGGGCGAGTTTTTTTCTTTAATAATGGCCGCTGTCAGTCGCCGTTCCTCAGCCGCCAACCCGGCTCTCTCGCCCCTCCATCGCCATTAAACCCACCTAAAGCTCGACTCGTGCAGTGCGCCGCCCTCCTCGGAAAAGCTTTTTCCTCCCCATCGACGACGATGACGACGATCCTTCTCCCAGTGGCGACCACGTGCCGCCGGAGAGCTGTGGCACCTCCAATCACTGCATGAAATCACAAATCCCACAGGCACAGGGAGGAAGAAGGGAGGAGAGAGAGAGAGGAGATAGAAAGGAAGAAGGAATCTGGTCAAACATTCAGAGGAAGGGATTGGTGATAGAAGACTGGGGGAGGGGGGCCAGTTGTGAGTAACTGATGGGCCAGCAGAGTGAGGACGCTGACGTGGACTGAAAGCAGATCTCTGGGCGGATGGGCCCGAACTTGGTCACTTTCGCCACGAGAGAGGTCTTACTGTCGCACGGTCAACGGCCGGCGTGGCTGTGTCACGTGTTCCGGGCCCACCACGGCCTCGGTGGAATTAATAAAGCGCGCGAGTCCCCGTGGGCCGAGTGTCACGCAATGCCAGGTGGATGGAGGCTTGCCGGCCGATCCCGATCGCGGCTATCAATGATTAAACGCCCCCTCTCGTCTCCCAAAATTAAAATAAACCCATTCTATTAAATAAGAGTGCCATAAAAATATATCACGCTGCCGTTATTTATAAAATACCCATAAATTTTCGCGGTGTTTTCCAAATAACCCCACCATGCGTATTCTTGCCCCGCCGGCCAGCGCCGTACCTGACGGTGTCCATATAAAAAACGGCGCCTCTCTGGTTTCATCCTATTGACCAGCATTCGCTCGTCCTATACTTCACGATCACGTGACACCTCACTCCACATCCACGTGGTGAGAGAATTGCGGAGAAAGGGGGGCTTCTGATCCATTCCTTTTGGCAACCCTGCGGCCCAGATTCCCTGGGCCCCACGTCCCGTAATATTTCATCTAACCCCCCTCCTCCTTGGCCTCTTACATTTTTATCATGTCGCAAAGTTGGCCGAACTGTGGGTATTATGATAAATAAAAATATTTTATCCGGACGGTTGACGGGCCCACTTACATGGGGTCTGACCGTTGGCCTATGACCTGCGGAAGGCACGTGCGCTCTTTCAGCGCCCCAGCGTGGTAAGAGATGCTCAAAAGCAGAAAGACTAGGAAGGGCTTCCGAGAGAAGCCGAGATTCGGGGCGACACGTCGAGGGCCCGCCGGGTCGGCCTGTTTTCGGCCCGGCCCATTTCTTGCGGCACGTCTAGGCAAGCTCTGCTCCACCTTGTCAGCTTTCTTACTCTAAAAAGAAATGAAAAGCAGGGCAGAGAGAGAGAGAGGGCCCAATATGATCGATGATTCACACGTTGCCTGTGTCGATAAAGGGCTCTCACCTTGTCAGAGGATTCAGCCCACCTGCCCTTCCGCACGCCTTTACGTGGTGGTCTTACCCGAAAAGGCCCATTAAGTGTGGGCCCCACTTGGTCTTTTGCGATAGCGCCCTCCCATCATCGATGGGAAGGGAAGAGAGGATGGGCTGTGGGAAACTGGACACGGGTGAGTCGAGTGAGTCGAGTGAGTCGAGTCGAGCGAGTCGACCCAGTCCGACAGAGATGCACCGGGCGGGGGCCCGTCTCTCGTGCTTCTTCCGGGTGTGGCGGGGGGAGGGGGGTTCAAGAGGGTCGTGAAAAGGATCACGGAGTCCACGGGGAAGGGAGGAGAGAGAGAGAGAGAGAGAGATCACGAGGTCAGGGCAGTGGATGGCTGGGCCCGTTGTTCTTTACTAAAATAGAAACAATGGTCACAAGCTGCTGAAAAGATGGGAGATTTTTTTTATCCTAACTAAAGAGAATTATTACCCAGAAATTACAGCATAGAAGCACTTCCCAAGCATAAAACATGTACTAATTCCGTAAAAAAAAGCTGAATAAAGAGAGCAATCAGTACGCCAAGGCTCTGACCAAACGTGGACAAAACCACTATCCCTTCTCCTTATATACCCTAAATAGAAAAGAAAATCCTACCCTAAAGTCAACTACAACAAAAAAGGGTAAACACTTGTTCAACACAGCTATATGCAGTGCCATACCCTGAGAAATATTTTCATCGGGAGAAATGCATGAAAAAAAAAGGGGGGTGGGGGAAGAACGCTCTCAGTTAGATCTCAACCCCAGAGCATAAAAAAAGAAAAAAAAAAGAAAAAAAAGAAAAAAAAGAAGAGGGGGCCAGCGAGCCAACAAACCCATTCAGTTCCTGTCATCATATCATGAAATGGGGAGATAACTACGTTTGAGATGTACAGAGGTTTTCCCATAAATAAAACCGATAGATGAAGGTCCCAGCGCCTCAGAGTTCCAACCAGAGCAACTTAGCTAGCAGGATACTTCCCATCTCACACTCAGTCGAGATAACACAGGACACTCAGTAAAGCAGCAAGAAGAGAGAGTAAACCCCTAACACCAGTACCTTTAGATACACGCGTGGATAAGCAGTTACCCAGCCGCAGCAGCCAGCAAGGATTTCAGTGCATGGATGGGCGGGGTGCTCGAGGCCGGACCGGAGTCTTTGATGGGCTCACCCTGAAGCGAATCGAGGAGTTGGTTGATGCCGTGGTTCTCTCATAAGACCCAAAAGCAATTCATGAAATGTTGGAGGAGGAGCAGACCTTATGGGCAGGGAGCCAAGCACCACGCCACTGCAGTTGAGAGCAGCAATCGCACTTTCCGCCTGAAAGAGTAACCATTTGGCAAGAATGATGAAGGTCCGGCAAACATAAATCTCAGAGGATGAGCAGACAGTATGATGGCAGTGAGGCTGAAAGTGGTTTTCTTAGCCAAACACATACGTCCTATCAAGAAATAGATGATTAATACCATGGAGTCAGAAGAATGATGCTTATATGCATGTGGAAACAATCAGTGTCCCTGGTCAATGCCAGGAGCTCGGCATTTTGCTCTTCAAGGTCTGAGTAAAGTTGGGGTTGATTTATTTTCCGCAAGGGCAGAGAAGCATGGTAGTACTTTGAAAATATGTGGGGACCCAAAGCCATGCCCAGGCCCTGATTTCCACAATGCAGACAAATTTTGGATGGCCTACAAAGGTTCAATAAACTGGGTGTTTCCAGAGAGGATTTTGATGCAGGAGTGAAATCTGTCTGATGCCATTTTCATGAACGAAATCTGTCTGGAATATGTTAACTAGTAACATAACTCTTTATTACAGTTGGTGTACTGAGACAACGAAGGTCACACAGGGCTTCCGAAAGTTGCAGGGGCTCAGGGTTTCTCTGGGCAGCAGACTTCTTGCCTGAGCCCAAAACGGGGCAAAAAGACTAGTAAGTAAGAAGGCCAGTCGATTGAAACACACTCCCCAGCCATCGCAAGATGATTCAAGTGGATCCCAACATTTGAAGAGTTGTCACCTTCACCTCAACCACTTAAAAGTGGGGGCAAATACAATTTGGGATCAGAAGTTAGATTTTGTCAGCACCAGTTAAGTCATCCCACGTAATATTGGACTGCCAAATGTTTTCTTAATAGATAAGGTTTATGCGGCAAATTTGACATAGTCTCCTTCTTATGCATGCAATAAATTCAAGAACCGTGGTCATTACAGACTACAATGACAATATCTTAAGTAGACCAGTGTAAATTTTTTGGTAGATCTGAATAAAATCAGATGCTTACTAAATCTAAGATGAAGTAAATCCAATATATTTCATGGCCACACATCATTGTTACCAGATTAACAATTGCTTCTCCAATGCATGCCATTAACGCTAGAGTGCTACGAACAAACACAAACCCACTGAACCCCGAGAATGAAGCGCTAGACCATTCAAAACAAGAAAGGAACATCACGAAAATATGAGGGACTGGAGCAAATATTTTAGGGGAAGAAAAGCAACTAATAAATAAGTCGTAGGCATACATTGCAGTATGCTTACAATGTTTGTTGGGAAAGAAATGATAGCTAAGAAGCTAAAAGAAGCAGCAAACAATGTTTGTTGGGAAATCACCGCAAATAATAATAACCATCATTTCTAATAAAACTACCTAGCGGCGATGATTAAAAAAAAAGCAAAAACAAAATGAAGAGTAATGAGACCTTGCTCAGCAGGTGTATATTGGAATTCAGTAGAAGCAAAAGACACTAGGTTCATTTGGACACATACAATTTATCCAAGGCATCATCCATGTTTTACAACTGGATCATTGCCAGAGGAATTTGAAGAGGGCACACGAAAAACCACAGAGGCAAGAAAATTTATCCTCATGTTATGTTTATGGTTGAGACTACAAAGATGAATTCATAAGAAAATCTTGAATTTGGTTGCCTAAACCTGATAAGGAGGCTTGGGACTGGCATATTTGCAATAGAGTAGATCTCTTTGTTGAGCTGCTCATTCATAGAGGAACCTTAAACTAAGCCTCCAATTCGCTTACTTTGTAGTTCTTGTTTTTTTAGGGATAAAATCACACTGCTTCTCGTGTGGTTTTGTCTTTGTTAGTAATGACGGGAGTCCATTATAAGATCAAATTCATTATTCTCCATGATGCAGTTTCTCTGCCTCTTTAGCCCTTTCTAAGGGATCTTCCCTTTCTTTGCCCCATCTACAGAATTAAAGAAATTTAATGTTCCCTCCCCTCGAATGGAATACCAGGATATCTCATGTACAGCGGGACAAGCATCCATAAAAGTAGGCAATTGAGAAAATTTCAATTAAAATACACCGCCATCTAAGGGTACTTACCATTATGAACTCAACAAAAGCAATACGGGTGGAATGATGATAGTCACCGAGAAGTCTCAACCGATATACCTACACCATGTAAGAGTTACCTAATGAATTTGCTCTTATAGAGGAGATATGGCAATTCTGAAGAAACCAAAAGACTGATCTGGGAAATCAAACCTCTCCACATATAGTCTCAAAGAAGAGTTTGACATCTACTTGAGAAACCTGACACCACATATAAATAGAAAAAGTTGACAAGGGCTTCATTACAGAATAAAGATAACACTGATAGTAAGCACAATAATAGATAATTCTAAACCATACGTTTTTATCGATATTTGTACAATAGATGGTCCTTGAGCACATCTCCAACTCATCTTCAGACTAACCATAAGAATAAAAGTTATTAGTGCAACTGTTCAAGATGAAAATATGGATCTCAAGTGATCAATGCGATAAAGTTCCTATAAACGTTTTGCGAAAAACACTATGGAATAATGTCCAAAGCGGAGTCTAACCCTTGGCAAATATGTTGGGTTAACGGGTGCAATTGCAGTCTTGGAAGGAAGCACTCTCACTGGATAGTATCCAAGCATTGTACCCGAAAGACCAAGAGCAGCCCTTGCACCCTCTGGAGTTCAAACAGTGTACAAAAAACGTCCAGCACAGGGGCAAATCAATGGAGGTTAAAAGATTTGAGGAAGATAAGAATTACTAATCTGGTAGAGAGACAACTACCTTCATCAGTGAACTCTATGAAGGCAAAACGAAGCACAGACTTTGGATCACCACATATGCGACAGTCAACAACCTTCAGCTCCAAAAAAAAATAATCTTAGGTGCAAACAATCATTGAGAAAACAATAATTTATTGATAGCTAAGGAATTACAAGCCATTGTTTCAGGATACTTATACAAATGTGCATGAGCATAAAAATGAAAAACCTTCAGGTTTGGTGTTTATTGTGCACATACACTAAAAGCTTACTAAAATCAAAACACCGACACTTCACCATGACCACTTGGAATCGGTGCGAAAAAAGATGGTTGTTCTTCTAACATGTTAATGTACACTGAATATTAAATGACAAACCACATGAGCTAACCTGCCCACAATTGATAAAGAGTGCCGCAAGTTGTTCTTCTGTGACCTAGATTATCAAAGAAACATCAAAAGATAATAGAAGAGTTAGACAGCTCCAAGGAAATCAACAAAGTGGCCAGTCAAGAGCAAGGACGAGAAAAGAGAAGAAACCATCAGCAATTTAAACACAACCAAAACGCAAAGAACAGTTCTTGTCAATTTAATGACACGCCTTGTGCGAACTAGACCTAGAATATTTTAACCCTAAACAAACAATATCTTGACAAGACACGGGAAGATGTACATCTGTAATGTAACGAACTTCAAGATAAGAGCACTTGTTGTTATTTACCTGTTGATCAATGTCAGAAACGTAAACAGTTTTCCTGATAATTTCCTCCCGTTGTGCCATGCTGGTCCTTGTATTCATTCGTTGTTTTCCCTGGTTATAATTATTCTTTCTCTAAACGCTCACAAGAAAACAGATTTCAGAAATGGATTGAAGAATTTTCTCCGGAAAATAAGAACATGACAAAGGTCAAAGCAAATTGTGAAATCTCAGCAGGCTCACCCGTCTGCCCCCATTTCGGTTGGCGCTGCTATTCCCATTTCCAGTAGTAAGTTGTGCAGCAAAATCATTAGGATATGCACTGGTCCCGTTCGCGTCACTTCTGGGAGATTGGCTATGAAGGGACGATGGCACGAATTCCTCCGCCATCGGGTTCAGCTTGGACAGTAACTCTTCCAGGTCCCTCATATCCTTCCTAAAACCTTCCTCTGAAATGTCCCCGTTCCTCCCAACGGAAGCACCAACAGATCGATGAGCAGTCGTCATCGTCCCACCTCCCAGCACGCCGAGCGCACCATTTGTGACCACCTGGCTTAGACCATGGCTGCCCGGTTGCAACGGATGCTGCTGAACCGTCGTGTGCAAGGCACCCTGAACAACGTGTGGCCTCCCCACGGGGAAGCTTTTCGGAGGCAGATTCGGGTCCACCGCACAAACCATTGACAGCGGCCTCTGCTGCTGCTGTTGCTGCTGCTGCTGCTGTTGTGGCGGAGGGGACGGCGGCTGTGTAGCAGTAGGCTGCTGGCTATCAGCCCCATCGGTGGTGCGTTGTGACTCTGTCGGCGAGTCTGGAGCGTGGAGATCAAGATTCCTGCTGCCGCCGGACCCGCCGTTCATCCCTCCTAGGTCGACGCCGCCCGTGCTTTCAAAAACAACCATGTCTCTAGCACCAGAATCCGGCTATTCTGACCAGCCTTCCGGTTCTTCCTCTCACACCCTGAGGCCCCTCAGCTTTGTTACAGCGGTCTACCATAAGAGAGATTAGCGGAGAATAGAGAAGACGGATCGCAATCCCCAATAATTACAAGCATGATCCCCAATGCCGATGCAGCCACAGGTGTCGCCGGCGCTCCCTCCACCACGATCGGCCGAGATCAACAGCGGAAAGCGGAAAGCTAACGAAAGGGCCAGCAGCAGCCGAAACGGAAAAAGGGAAGAGTGCGATGGAGAGACAAGAGTAAAGATCGGGACAGGCCAGCCGGCCAGCCGGTGAATTAATCTACGCTGCCGGCGCTACCTGTTCATGAGCTCCATCCTCCGATCACCCCGTTGCTTCCTCAGAGCCCTCTTTCTCTGCCCCCTTCTGCAACTGTTGCTCCAGACTGCCTGCCGTTCGGCCCCTCCCCTCTCCTTCCGACCTCCTAAGCGGAGAAAAATGACACCATAGCCCTTTCCACACGGAGCCTAGAGCGAGCGAGCGAGAGGGGAAGAGAGAGAGAGAGAGAGCGAGAGAGAGAGAGAGAGTGCCGTCATCCTTCTTGTTCATTCGACGGCTGCCGCCGTTAACACCATAAACCACCGTCAATCGATGCGGACCAGAGATGACGGGTTGAAGTTGGGGTTAGATGAGGGCGATAATTGGCCTAACCGAACCATATCCCATTATCTCCAATTACCTTCCCCCCTAGCAGTGAATCAGATAAAGACAAAACTACATCGTCCCGTGGAGAGAGAGTGTCTCAAGAGGGGGCTGAACTCACTCCACCGTATGTTTCGCAGCGTAGGAGAGATGGCCGATGACCTAGGGGCTCGAGACCAAGATTAGAATGCTTATCGCTACGCACGGGATTCATCCGCTGGCGTTCTGAAACAGCGGAATACCAACCCTACCCAGAGAGCCCTGTCTGAAGAGCCAGCCCAATCTTGGAAACGGTTCCGGTCGCGTCGAGTCTCAAATCTCCATCTCTTCCCTCCCGTGAGCTCAGGAAGAAGGGGTGCTGCGTCAGTCACTCGGCAGCGGCGAGGTCCGGTCCCTGGGAGGCTCAACCCTAAGATCGCTGCAGCGTGAGCAGTTTGAGGTAGGCAGGCGCCTAGTTCGAAGAGTATACGAGCAAGGGTAAAAACCCTAGATTTCAGCCGTTCGTCAGCGGAGGGTCGGTTTTGATTGGAGGCGCGCGTCACAGGTTATCCATTACGGTTCGTATTTGAATCCACTCTTTCTCTTCCTCTGTTTCAGCCGGTTCCTCCATTTGACGCCCGGGCTAAATCTGCAAACCCATCAGAATAGAGTTGTTTCACGGTGCACCGGAGAACCTCTTGCAGCACACCAGAGGATTGTTGTGGCGTGTTGCGTCTACCTTTGTGTCTTTCCTTCCATTTTCATCGTATATAGCAGGAGTATGCCCTCTTTCTGACTTTTGCTTGCTACCCCTATATGCCGGATCGTAGCTTCCTCGACGGCCCAAAGTACCCCTCGAGTTTCTTATTTTTCTGTATCACGGTTCTTCTCGTATTTTTTCTCTCATTTGTAATTTTGTATTCCAGTCAGCTCAACCCCGCAGCTTCAGATCCCTTTAGAGTTCCTACTTTAGTTGAACATCTGTTTTTATTCATCCTTAATTTTATCATGAACTTCTTATTGCTCCCGTTTGGAATGTCCACGCCCATCAAGTTACATTTTCGTCCATTTTTCCTGTTTCTGCTGCGGGTAGTAAACTGGAGGTTGAGGATTAACATTTTGTCAATGAGGGTCTTCAGTTTGCTGCAATGGCAAGGCACCAACTATGTACAGAATGTGTAGTAAAATATGCATCCCGTAGGATTGAGTTGTAGGTACGGTATGGTTGCATCAGAAATATGAGGATCACCTTATGTTCTCCAAGAAATCACAATGTAAGCTCGTTCAGTGAAAATTGAAGAATGCGAGCCAACCACAGAACTCTAGCAACTTCAAGCACATAAAATTGATCTTAGACATCGTTTATCTTGCTGAAATTGTTGCATAAAATCTCCTCAGATACAAGTGGTTAGTGGGAACTTAAATTTTGGGATTTTTTCCGTTCATGTGCTTTTAGCTTGCCACTCGACAAGGCTTCTTTCATTGATTTCTGCATTTCCTACCCAATAAATAGAGGACAGTCTTATCATTTGTTGTTTTTCTTGAAATCTCTTCAAAAGTCAATCTCCATTGATTGACGACACCGTTCAACTTGAAGCATCAACGTATTAATCAATTGGATTTAGTGTTTTCTTTGCTGAAATTTGTGTCATCTTCTTGTTTACTTTCCAGTCCTTTGTTTTATTTCGTGCCATGTGAAGAAACCTTTCTGAGGTAATCGGGTAGTGCGTTTTGGAAACCTCGTTGCATGACATAACATCAATGCTTTCTTTATGATAGATGAAAGACGCTGGGAGAAATAGGAGCTTTGCAGCCATTCATAGGTCTGTAGAGAGGGACTGGGAGAAATCAGGGTGGAATTATGTGTATTTTGAGGACGTTCTCGTACACACGTGAAAACCAGTGAAAGGGATGAGTGGATCAAAAATTTATTTCAAATTCTAAATATAGTAATGGAGCACATTGGAGGACACGAGCAATGGAGCTTGTGGATCATCAGTCACATGACGGACTGCTCTCTTGGTTGGCTTCACTGTTTTGACTTTCATCCAGTTGTTTCTTGTCAAACATATTCTTTTGCTGACAAGTGACTGAAAAAAGTGCACCAATTTAGTTTTAGTCTGGATGATATTTCCTGTGGATTGAAATGCGTGAAGTTATCTTTAATGCAGAAAATCTTGCTCATCAAACCATCTGCTGCATCAACAATGAGCGGTCGTTTTTCTCGAACCATCTATGTTGGCAACCTCCCTTTGGATGTGCGTGAGAGTGAGATTGATGACCTATTCTACAAGGTTGGTGACCTATTCCGGGAATCATTATTGAATAAGATCTTAACTATGTTTTTGACAATTTTTATGTCTACGAGAGGTGCTTACAATGCGTTCTCAGTTGTGTCCTCATCACTAGCTTTCTCTTCCTCGATGTAGTTTTTCACTGTTATTCTTTCTTATGCTGGAGTTATAAGGATCGTATATAATTCATCTATCTTGCTAAATTGGATTCTATCTTCCTGTGAGGGCTATTTTTCTTTGTGCTCGTGGAAGAGGTGTTAAATCGTTATCAGTATTTAAAGAGTTGAAGAGAATTTTGCAGGGATTTTGATGTCTAAGATATCCAAGGCATGAACTCAAGTATTACGCGCTGACATGGGCATATGTGCATAGACCTGGAAAACCATTGACAATAAGGCATGTGTGAGCCGGAGGAATGTAGCATTCAATACACACTAGAGGCATGTGTCAATATGTGCGAACATGAACATGAAAAAGTACGAAACGTTGGCTTAAGTTGTGTTGAACAAGGTGTCTTATAATTTCTTGAGGGATTTTAGATGATGTGTGTCGTGATCCAGATGCTTGAGGTAGGGAAGCTTGTTGTCGGTGGGCAGACATTATATTTTATTCATGTGTGAGGAGTAATTCCGCTCTTATACACAGAGCTAGTGGAACTACTTGTCAAGTTAGATTCAAATTATGTTCTCACATGGATTGATAAATTGGAAATCAGATGAATTATCATGTGGTATAAGAGTTATCTACAGCGAAATCACCATGTCATGATGGATAAAACAAGGCGTACATCAGGTCTTTGATTCTTACGTTTCTAGTTTGTCCTTATAATTTCAGCATCCGAAAGCCCTCAACCCTTTCCCCCAAAAGCTGTTGCATCCGGAATATTTGTTGACTATCTCTGTGCCGTTGGTCCTCTGCCCATCAAAATCTGCCACTTGTTGCTCGGTGCTCCATTCTGATTTTTGATTAAGCTGTGAGCATAATGGTTTAACTCTTGAAGTATTTCGGTGACCAGTCATTGGATCAGTTTGTCTGCTGACTTCATCCAACTTGATTATAGATCATTCTTGCTCAGTCCCCTACATTTTGCAATTTCGGTTGGAATTTTTACCAATATGCTTATTTTCTTTAGGTTGTTTATTTAGTCTTTTAGCATAATAAAGCTACTGTTCTCTGGATATTAACTTGCGTGACAGTTTAAGGGCAACTGAACTTTTTGAGGCTTTCTTTTATTGGAGCTCCATCCTTTCATCTCCTCGAGCTTCCTTAACATGCAGTCTATTTTTGGTCTTGTTTAGTGTTTGTTATTATTTTTTTAACTCACTGCGGCTCATTCGTTCTGTGAAACTTATGTACCCTTGTCTTTATGTCCTAACCTGACTATTATTTGTGTACTTGTTCCTTATTGTGATGTACCATTCTATCTTAATATTTAAAGCTCGAAATGACCGAAGCTCTTCATAATGTACAACTTCGATTTGTTTACCATCTTTGATACTTTCGTTTAATCTCCTCAGTTATTATCTTCTTAATGTTAACGGTTTCTTACGACTGTTCTAGTATTCATCACTCCATTGACCACTGTTAATGATATTCTGAACATCTTATCTTGTTTACATGTGTATATTGTATTCCCTAATCTTTGCTACCTGCAGTATGGTCGGATAGTGGATATCGAGCTGAAAGTTCCACCTCGTCCTCCTGCTTACTGCTTTGTTGAGGTGCATTTTTGTCCTATTGATTCATGTTTCCTACATTTTTAGCAGATTTCTGACTTTTTCCCTGTATATTCCTATAGTTTGAAAGTTCTCGAGATGCTGAAGATGCAATCAGGGGTCGGGATGGATACAACTTTGATGGTCACAGTTTGAGGGTAATCAGAATTCATATCTGCATCTCCACATGTAGTAGAGTGAAATTGGTGGCTTCTAACTGTTGCTTATATATCAGGTTGAGCTTGCTCATGGTGGTAGAGGCCCGCCATCTGCTGTTGATCGGCGTGGTGGATATGGAAATGGAGGTGGTGGAAGACATGGAACATCACGCCGTTCTGAGTATCGAGGTGGAGTTTATTATACTTCAGATCTATTCAATATTTGAATATTTGCCTCTGCTATTGGAACTGTATTATTTGTTTTCAATCTGAATTATGAAATTGATCGAAGTTTAGTGCTTTGGAGAAAAATACATTATTTTAGACTCCTGACTGTTGTTAGAGCTTAAAGCTTTCTTGGTCCGTGCTCTTATCATGGGTTGCTGACTTGCAGTCATCGTTCGCAACCTACCTTCATCTGCTTCTTGGCAAGATCTGAAGGTACCGCAATTTCTAATCTTGTGCACACTAGTTCATCCTTGGTAACTTTAGCTGACGTGTAATTACATATCACAGGATCATATGAGGAAGGCTGGAGATGTTTGTTATGCTGAAGTTTTTCGTGAGGGTGATGGTAATCTATGATGCTTTTAAGTATCTCATTTGATGTTCTGGGTTACTTCTTTGGTTCTCAGTGTTTTAAGTGAGCCATGATTTTTTTTTCCTCCATGTAAATAATACGCAAAGTGATTGTCAATTATCTTCTGATTGCTCATCTTTCCTTTCTGATCGTAATTCTTCCTGTACTTATGAACTGCTTGTTTGGAGCGAAAACCATGCGACTCCTTGTAGATTTACTATTAATTACAAGTTGCATATGCAACCTGTGATTCAGTTCTAATTGGCTCTACCTAGTGAAGATTGCAAACACCATTAAACATGGAAAAATAATTTCACCTTTTTGTTTGAAAGCATGAACATTCTTTCTCCCACACTACCTTTGGTGTGTCTCAGTTAACGTCCTCAAAATCAACCGACTCACATGTTGTTTGACCAGTTCGGATCGGAATCAGATCTGACTGATCTACTTGATTTCGAGCGTCCTGATCCTGAGTTTTATGTCACAGAGCCGGCCTTGAATTGCATAGTTGGCAGATTCATTGCTGATTTGTGGATGACTTAAGCTAATCCCAATTAGCATCAGATTGGGTTGGCCAAACTTCCCAATCCGATCATCAACTGTGTTTCATGATCGTGACTTGTGTCTGAGAATCTATCAGAGTGGCCTGTCGCTGTAAGTTGGGAAAGATTTTCGACATGTGGTTAGATGTGTTCTTGCATTGAATTCATAGCTGTATAGTTTAATGGCTATTGAAGGAAGTTGGGAGAATTTGAGGATGAGCAAGATCGACAAGCTGAGGAGGAAAAGGAACAAAAGACAGCAGACCACAAGGAGAACGTTTCATAGCAGATTTTCATGGCGGCCAAAACATGTTGGGTGTGATACTTGGAACATGTTCTCTTTCACATGAAATCTTAATTATGTAGAACAAGCTCATGTTAGGTGAATCAGACGCAGGTTGAGCGGAATGAATTCTGGATCTTGCATCCATGATTTTTCCATATGATTTGAATTTACGGCCGATTTATGAGATGCATTACATGAATTAAATTGGTTCATGCATATGGAAAAAAAATTAATTAATTAGTTTCTTAACGTCATCTCTGAAAGTGTGTATGCTCGTTTTCTGGCTTATGTGCATCCCTATGATGCTAAGGTTCAAAACCCAAGCATCATCAATGAATCTGCTTGGTGGCTGGTTCGTGCATAATATTTCTCTAAAGTTTCTTTGCCTCATGTATTTTCTCATGACGCATATATTCGTCAAGAATCGACCTTTGTTAACCCAGATGTTCCATGATTCCAGGAACTGTGGGCTTAGTTGATTACACCAACCTCGAGGACATGAAATACGCTGTAAGTGTCCACCTCAACTTAACTGTGCCTAGTTGTATTCTTTTATTGATCTCAGTTACATCCCCTTCTAACCCGCGTTCCCAATCCCTCAGATTCGAAAGCTGGATGACACGGAGTTCCGCAATCCTTTCTCAAGATCCTACATTCGGGTAAAATGCTGTTCTTAGTAGCACAGTTGCTTCCTGGCTGCGCGCTATTCTTTCTGAAAATGGGTAGAATCATATCACCCCATGCGTTGGAGCAGGGGAGATGAGGCTCTCTTATTGGCTTTTAACTTAGTTCTAGGATGTGGGTTGTAGTTGCTCCTGCCTTATGCGTTGAAAATCATAGCTTCTGCTGTGAGGAAACCAGTTCAAGTGATGTCACCATGGAAGTCAACGCTAAACAGCTCAGAAAGAAAGGCCACCTGGGGCCGACCTGTCTGAAAGAGGGAAAAAAAAAAAGAAGGGACTTCTATGATGCCAACTCGGATTCTGTTCTTGCCTTTTTTGACTGCTTCAGTAATTTCTATGATGCTACTGCATCTTCTTCGAGAGGTGTAGTTGACTTTCGGGTCAGAACTCGACGTACTACTTTCCTTAGTTTTTTTTTTTGGCCAAATGAGGAAAAGTCTTCCTCGAATGAATCATCCGGGTGATCTTGTCGAGGTTTTTAATGTGTGGCAGGTGGAGTCCCACAAAGGAAGCCCATCCAGGAGCCGTAGCAGAAGCCGAAGCCGAAGCAGAAGCAGAAGTCCAAGGAAGGAGCCAAGGTTGACATATTTTATTTGTATGAATAAAAAAATAATAATTTTATGAAATATTTTTTACCGTTCATTTCCTGCAGCAAATCCCCCGATCGCCGTCCATCCAGGTCGGCTTCCAAGTCCGCCTCTCCGAAGTCAAGGTCCGCCTCTCCTGCACGACTGTCCAGGTACTCTCCGGAATGTTCTCGAAAGTTCTCCTTCTTCTTCTTCTTCTTCGGTCATTTCATCCATGTTTTTATTTATCTTACCAGCAGGTCAAGGTCCAGGTGAGTTTGACCGCGCCGACAGTATCGTCGTCCTGTGGCCGCATGGTGCCACGTGGTGTTGAGCAGAGACTGTGAACAAGTGTAGCGGGCCCTTGCCTGAAAAGACCCTCGTTTATTTTTTTTGTCATTGACCTCCGCAGAATCGTAGTGGTTTGTTCCCTTACCTGGACAAAGATGCGGTGCGACTTTTCGATTAAAAGCGATTGAACGGGGATTTCTCTACGCCACTTCGAGGTCAACGCTTGAGGCTACTCTAGCCAGAGATGGGCAATCGTTAAGTGGGTGGGCCAAGCCCAGCCCAGTTCGGCTGAGTCTGTCCTTCGTTAGGTTTGGACGGGTTGGGCCGGGCTGGGTTTGGACTCGGGATGTTGGGCTGGTCTATTGCTCATGGACGTGGGCCCATCGTATCGAGTGGGCCCCACTCTCGTGGCCGCCCCTGGGCTCGTTGTGATTTGGTGGTGCTCCGAAACCCTAGCAGCCTCGGAAGGCTTTCGCATCGCCCTCCTCTATAAAACGCTCCTCGCCGCTGGCGGATTGTCCTCTTCCTGCTAAGCGAGGTGCCACTCAGAATCCTAATCCGTCTCCGGTCCTCGCACCGCTGGTAATGTCTATCATCTCTGTTTGCGTCGTCTGCAGATCCGTTTCTTTTTCGATTCAGATGTGTTGATTTCTTTTTTGGTGATTATTTTCCTCTGTTCCCTCCCTAGATTGAGCACCCTTCGTCGCCATGTCTGTCGGAGAGCTGGCTTGCACCTATGCCGCTTTGATTCTCCACGATGACAGCATCTCCATCACGGTATTCTATCGGCTTTGATGTGTTCCTTATTTGAGTCCCTCGCTTGATACTGTCTCTTGTCTTCTTCTTATTTTTGAGACAAATGAAGCCAGATGGAGGCAAACTTTGAAAATTCGATTATCTGATCAGTTAATCTTCTGTTGCAGGCTGAGAAGATTGCCACGTTGGTGAAGGCTGCGAATGTTAAAGTGGACTCGTACTGGCCTTCCCTATTCGCAAAGTTACTAGAGAAGAGGAGCGTCGATGATCTCATCTTGAACGTTGGATCTGGTTAGCTGCTTATATTTTAACGTCCACATTTCTCCATTTTGTTATTTCTGCCTGCAGTTATGTTACTTGGTCGACCTCGTTTCTGTAGGTGGAGGTGGTGCTCCTGTCGCGGTTGCGGCTACGGCCGGAGGTGGTGCCGCCGCAGCTGCCCCAGCCCCGGTGGAGGAAAAGAAGGTTGGGATGCTTTTGACACACCAACTACGTCCTCTCATCGTATATTTTTTTTTTCTTCACTTAACTTTTCTGATACTTTGTTCCACAGGAAGAGCCAAAAGAGGAGAGTGACGACGACATGGGATTCAGCTTGTTTGACTAGGATTGTGTTTAGGTGGTGCGATCCAATCTTTAGAAGTCGCAGAGCTAATTTGTGCTTTCTGAGAAGTCGTTACTAGAGATGTATGTTTTATCATTAGCTGAAAATGACTTGGTATTAATCGATGGTAATGCTGATTTTTTGAGGTCAACAGTATATTCGCCGCATGTTATCTATCATACTGGTGCTTTGGCATCAATATTCACTGCTAACATATGAATTATACTGGACTCTAGAGATATGGCGCATCATCACCAGTTTACAATGACATACTCCGATTGTAGATGACTTCCCTCGTCAGCAGATGGCTTGAAACTTTGCTCCACCATTTTCTCTCTTTATTAATGTCTTCATAATGCTTGAAGCTTGCTCCACACTTCTGTGTATACATACCCACACTTCTAGGGTTCTCTCTCTCTCTCTCTCGCGTCGTAGACTATTGTTGATATCTCATTTCCATTCGAGCATGTGTTTTATATCAGGATGTTACTAGTATCATCAATGGATGTGTGGTGGAGCATCATACAATGCCCTACCTTCTTCTCCCCACATTGGGATCCACATTGAGAACGTTGACCTGGTTTCGCCAGGCAGGTTCGGACCAAAGATGAAGGCATTGCAAGAATTCAGCCAATCGGATGCGCCGAATTCATTCATCTGTCACGACATCACTAGAGGTGGGTCGATATCTATCTCTAATAGAAGATCACCTTGACCTCACCCTTTAATCGAGTCTGGTGGAGAGTCGTCACAGTTCTCGTTATCTAATCGCAGACGACCCGTCCTCTGCTGAGCCTCAGCTTCTGTTTTATTTAGTTCTGGTGATTTTGATCCTTTGGTCCACATGTTCCTTCGAGCTTTCCACTGGATAGGTTCATCCGTGACGCCAAACTGTGTAGTTAATGAGCCTCTTCAATTCGTTCCGCCGTGAACATATGGCTAAATCTCTGTGGATCCCCAACCTCCTTTCTTTCCCGAAAATGCAGAGCCCCTCGTTCCATTTCACTCCAAAGCTCCTGCAGTCGCAAGAGCTCGATCTCTCATGATGCGTTAATCGGCACAGTCAATTTGGAAATGCTCCGAAAAGGCAGGGGATTTCTAAATAAGCATCTGAAAACTGAGTGCTCGTTCATACACTACGTGTAGAATTCCTCACAGTCAACCGCGACAATCCCCACCATCATAGTTGAGGGGCAAGACAATTCCTCCAGCGGCCAATCAGATGCCTGCTCTTGGAGCTTAACCAGGTGAGCGACCGACGCCATTGCCGAAAGGTTAACTCCCCAAGACACCGAGTTCATCGGAAGAAGCCCACGGGATCTCCTTCTGCTCATGAGAGATTCACATCTTCGAGAAGACGGAGTGTTGGAGAGAGAACCCAGTAGGGTCTTCCGCTTCTGAGCAGCACTTTTCTCCCCCGCTCGAGGATGGGCTTCGTCGGCGACTGTGTGTGGTTAAGCTAATCCCTGCAACACGGAGCCAAAATCAGGGGATATCATGGCAAACCTCAGGAAGTTGACGCCTAGGGTTTGTGGAGCAATCCATGGAAGTGAGAGAGAGAGAGAGAGAGAGAGAGAGAGAGAGGAATGCCCTCCTCATTGTCCAGGTTATGCACTGATCATATGCTACCCTAGGATGATGCCAAGATCCGTGACTAAAAGAGGAAGCAAATCGTCCAGTTCTTTCGGTTGATAACTCTACTTGCTATTCATTTATATAATGTATATAGATAAATCTATATTTCCTACCTAGTTTGAGGGGCCAGCTGGCGTGTCGGGGATTTACCCGAATCCCCTGCATTCTTCTATTCTGAAGGTCTGTCCCTGAAAAGGAGGAACTTCTGCCCTGGCATCCCTATAAATAGCATACTATGCTGAATGTCACTGATTTCTAGCTGGGATCAGATTCGGAACTCGGCAGGGTCAACACAACTCAAAATCTATGAAACGTCAAATATCGACTAGGGCTGTTTCTGTTGACTTCCAATGTGAAACTAAAGTCAATTCAATCATCGAGGGCTTCAGTACGGCATCCATCAGCCAAAGAAAACCTACACATTGGAACAAACCTCGCCCATACTACTGCCCAAGCTACACTCTCTCTTTCAGTGATAGTCTCCCAGTTCTTTTAAAGTTATCTGGGATCACGACCAACCTGGCTTATGAAACCCGACATGGATCAAATCCGAACCGGCCAAGCCCCACCATGCTCCACAATCGGATATCAGTGATAAGTGAAGGCTGTATGAGAGATACACAACCATGGTCTTACACTTAAGCCCCATTTGTGCCTGTGTAGAGAAGATAGGCAACTATCCTCAGGAATAAAAAGGAAGAAAATGTCAACGACGGCTAAGAAACAACTTCGCGTATCACTCACTGTTTCACAGTAACTTAGGGAACCTAGATAGCCAAGCAATGCTGCCTTAAAAGGGTTCTCTGAACGACAACAGATTTGACTTTAGAAATCATGATCCAGGGACTTTATTAGTATTAGACTACCATCATGTTTCTCCTTGCACGCCCTTTTAACAAGCCCCATGTTATCCTCAACTCGCTCCAATCTTCTAGATGATTTCGGCTATGCATTCCGAGGTAATAATATCAAAAACTTGAGGAGTTAGTAATCGCGGGGGCATCATATTTCTGCTAGAACTTACTTTTCAATCAATCCTCATGATGCAGACTCTTTCATTCTTGGATCACTCTTTCCATTTTCGTCTTTGGTACCTTTTTTAAAAACAGGTGACGCCGTTGACTGAGGAAATCAGTCACAGATTCAGCGCAACCTTGAGTGTTAACCAGGCTTCCCTTGTCCTCACCGCGTTGACCTCACATCATATTCCAACAACCAGCTCTTTCACCCCTTTTTTCCATTCTCCAGTAAGAAGATTGTGAAACTTCGGTGGTGAAGTTATTAAAGACTATATCTGAATTAAATTAAGAAAAAAATATCATCCAATAATCTTTTCTTCCTCATGTTTTTTGGTCAAGATGGACAGCCCTCTGGTGCCATCTATCAGTCATATCACAGATGCAAAGATCAAATTTTGTTAAGGTATGAAGAAAATCATTAAAGAGGATGATGACAAGTCAGGAGCTTAAATGAATTGCGGAAAAAACTGGGGTCAAACACAAGATGATATGGTAATATAAGATCAGCACAATGGTAAGCTAGGCACTCAAGGAAACAGAACGCTGCATTTTATTACCAAGTAGATCAACTCAATATATTTAAAAATTTAACAACATTTGGTATGTCTAAACAAAGATATTGTCATGCCCTCCAGAACTTTCAAGAAATCAATACTCAGACTGAATCACGTCAACTTTGAGAGGCTACAGATGGCTTAGAACAAATATTAAAGCTCTGGGCCAAAGAGAAATTGTGTGTATGGCCTCACCCCCACACGAACATCCAAAGACGAGCGTCTAGATGAAAAGATTTGAAGTTGGAGAAACTTCAAGGCACTACTGACAAACTAAAATAAATTTAAGAAAGCAGTTGCACGCTTATTTATATGGCAATGGCTCTACATTTCAGAGACAAGGAGAGACAAGTTAATAAAGGAATTTTAGTTACAACTACATGTCAGTTTTAAGTGTTGATGCTGCACTAGTTTTAAAAATTCTGAGATCTGGAGTTTTATCTAGTCAACTCGGGATTTATCCAATAGGTAAGTTTTTTTACATATTTTATTGAACCTGCTGACACCTAAACAGAGAAAGAATCCGATTCATTACCATTCTCTTTCACACAATTTAAAACTTTTATTGGCAACTGAATGTAGAGTTTGTCCAGTCCATACAATTCTACTAGTATCCTAGTTATTATTCTATCCTGTTGAACACTCATTACATGATTTAGGAGCCACGTTAAAAGTGGCTACATTGGAGGATATATGTGAGCAGAGATGAGCCACCTTATCCATTTTGCCCGGGATTTGGTTCTTCCCTACACTCTCCATTATGTATTTAAATATACACATAAAAGTAATCCATGCAATTTGACTCGATATACAAACAGCAAGCAAGATGAATAAATAAAAACCGAAGGCAACAGCAGAGAAAAGCTTACCAGAACTTAATCATGCCATCCCAGCCACATGTTGCAACTTTACTCTGCTCCAGTGGATGCCACTCGCAGCCGATGCACACACTCTCATGGCATTTCATGGTTCTGAACACCTTGCAACTTTTCCAGTCCCAGAACCAGCACTTTCCCTCCCCATCTCCTGACATGACAAACCGTCCATCGGGTGAGAAATTGACCTGGCAAGCATACCCTGAAACTATATGGCCAGCGAATCTTTTCTTCTTGTTCAGCTGAAACCTCTCCTTTGTACTGTAAATAAGTATTTGGTTGTCCAAGCTCTGTGCTGCCAACCAATTTGAGTTGGGGTGGAGAGTGATCGAAGGCATGGAATGCATGTGCGGCTCGCTGATGTACTTTATAACCACTGGAATTCCAAACTCCCATACGCGTAGGGACTTGTCATCACTCGAGGTCACAAACCTTCGGTTGTTATCAACAAAGGTGATCGTATTCACCGCTCCCAGGTGCTGATCATACTCTTGGGTGATCTGTCCCGTGTTCATATCCCACTGAACGATCTTCTTATCACTCATGCCCGCTAAGAGAATGTTCTGCTTGTCTTCATCAGGGTTCAGCTTTACCACATAAGGAATCTTGCCCGTGGAAAAGGTTGAGATCACTTTACCAGTCTCGGTGTCCCAGTACTTGATGTTCTTATCATAACCTGCGCTCAGAAACTTCGATCCGTCGTTGGAGAAGGAGATGTCACGAACTGCCTTTGCGTGTCCCATGTAGGTCCTCATACACTTGCGGGAATTGAACACATCCCAGATCTTGACCTTGGAGTCCATTCCAGCAGAGAGAATCAAGTGCCCATTCCTTGGAAAGAAGCGAATTGCAGCAACTCCTTTCGTGTGGCCACTCCAGGTGTGAATCAGCCGCTTAGGTATATAGCAATGGTCGTTGGTCGCCTTGACATCCTTCGGTGGAGCAATCCACGATCGGCCCTGGTAATCGCGCTCCTCTTTCCCATGGAATGTGCTCTTGTCGACGTGGTGCTCCCCCTTCTCCCTCCCCTCGGCTCCCTTCTCCTTCTCGGCCTTCTTCTGCGCGTACTCCTCTGCGTACTTCTTCTGCTCCTCCGTGAGTTCCACCTGAATCCCTTCCTTCTTCCCCGCCCACGGACTCTTCCGATTCTTCAGGAGCCACTCCTCCGAGGCAGGGTTATCAGCATCCAGCCCCGCGGCGCCTTCTTCTCCCTCCCCTTCCCTGTCGACCTTCTTGAGCTCAAGCTTTCGACGCTTCTGCTCCTGCTGCGGGATATTGTACACAGAGAGGGCGTTGTTCTGCTCGAGTGTCTCGAGATCACCGACCACGGACTGGCCCGACGGATCCGTGGCATAACCTAGCTTCTGGAATGTGTTGTACTGCTCGTCGAACAGGAAGGGCTCGATGGCGGCATCCTCTACGCATCCCAGCTTGTGATTGCGAAGCCCCTGTGGGATGCCGTCCTTCGCGTAAGGGTGGGCGGGGCCGTAGATCGGAGCCCACAGCTGCTCGTAGGTAGGATTGAAGGGGACGACGTGCTGTGACGGATCTATGGGCCGCTGCGAGGCCAGTTTGGCCCCTGCCTGAACAAGAGCCAGGGCGGTATCGTCCACCTTCGGGGCGGCGGACTTCTTCGGGAGCGACAAGCGGGGAGAAGACTCCGGAGACGACGACGATGAAGGCGGGGATCGCTCCCTCGCCGGTGCCTCCTCCTCCTTCCGATCTCCCCCGCCATCTTCTTCCCCCTCGTCGTCGCTCTTCTCGGCATATCCCCGCAGCAAATCCATGGCCGGACTGAATCGGAAGCAGCACGAGAGAAAGAACCCTACGCGCCCGTTCCTTCTCATAAATCGACCCCCGGGGCGGACCCAACCGAGTCAGTACGCCGATTCCGGATCGGGCCGGCACGACACGGACCAGATATCAATTACCGGCACAATACACTAAATGGGCTGATTCCTGCCTCCCTCCTGGGCTTTGAGATTCTCTGTGAGCCCCACCGGTTATGGATCACCGTCGATTATGTACGCGTGTCCAACATCTTAGGTGGAGTGGGGTCTCTCTTTGTTGACCGAAGGGATTAGCGACTTGATAGGCTAAGTCTTCTCTTTCCCCCCTCCTTCCTCCTTCCGTCCGCCATCTCGTCGTCTTCCTCCCGACGCCGGCACTCCAGCGCCGCCGCCGGCGGTGGCGAATGACGCGTATCCGACGAAGAGGAGGGAACGGAAAACCTACTTGGCCGGCCCGTCTCCTTCTTCTTCCTCTTCTTCCTGGTGACTGAAATTGAGAGAGGAAGGGGGAAAAGCGCAGAGGGAGATGCGATGATGTGCCCTGGGCCCGCCGGGAAGTCCGGCAGGAACTGGCTCGATCGCCTCCGCAGCTCCAAGGGATTCCCACCCATTGGTGCGGGGCTCGATCTCGATCAGTTTCTCCTGCTTCCCGATCCCAACCCTAGCCATCCTTCTCCTCCTGCTGCTTCTGCTGCTGGTGTTTCTCCTCTTCGTCTTCCCGGTTTCCCTGAACCAGACGGCGAGAAGCGCCTTCCTCGCCGCCCGCGGCGGCGCGGGGAGGAACCGGGAGTCGCGAAAGAGGAGGGAAGGAAATGGTTCGAAATCGTCGGCGGCGCTCTGGCGGAGCTCTTTCACATGGGAGATCCCAGCGAGCTGTGCGATCTCCGAGGCCGCCGGAGCGGTCAGAAGAACCCCCGGAAGCAGCCGAACCCGAGGATCTTCGTGATCTCCGCCGCTGCCGGCCCCGCCGGTAGCAGCCCCGCCGAAGAAGAGGAAGACAGTGGTGGCCGCCTCCCGGCGGCGCCACCCGCCGTCGCCGAGAACAGCATCGCGGGGACGAAGACGAGGCGTAGGAGGCCGCCGGCGCCCTGCGGCGGCGCCAACGATTCTTCAGATCTCGCCGCTTACTCGCGCACCGACGTGACGGTGATCGACACGAGCTCCCCTTCCTGGAAGTCGCAGAAGATCATCTTCAGGAAGGGATCCGTCTGGAGGGTCCGGGATAAGAAGTCCTGGAGCGTGAGCAGGAAGAAGAGGAAGCTCGGCGTTGTCAAGAGGTTAGCTTCTGAGAAGGAGCAAGATGAACCCCCCGCCGCAGGGGGGAGAGAGGTGCTCGTGAAGGATCACCCACCATCGCCCAGCGACGTAAGCTCTCCTGTGCCCCCATTTTTCCTGCATTAACTTGAAGAATCTACGGTTATATTAATGTAGACGACTCAGTGGATCATCAGGTTCATTCAGAGACCGATCCTTCAACATTTTTCTTTCTATTTTCGACATCACTCCCCATGGGTCCCTGTTCTTCATCACATTCCCCTTGGATGATAGAATCGACGCCTTGAAGGTCAAAAAAGCAGAGAAGTACAGGCGTAGAGTGAGATATTCTGATTGTAGATTCATGGGATGTGCTGCTTCTGCTGCTCCGGAAAAACAATGTTAGGGCTCGAAATGTGCTGAATTGAAAATCAAATACATGGGCTTGGATCTTCCAAATGGGGGCTATGAAGGCCCAAAGATGTTGAAGGGTGAAAGTCTCGAGCGCTGCTTAAATCAGTGCTGAACGGCGAACTGAATCAATCAGAAACTGTGCCATTTTTTTCTCAGCAGGGGTGGGAATGGAAAGCATGGGGGGACCTCTGATTCGTTGACTTGGATTGATCTAAGGAGAAATGGAGCAACACAGAACGATTTGGGCTTAATAGACTGATATAATGTGTGGTGTTCACTTTCCTCTTTGAGCAAACCCGTTGGCCGGCGACTGAATCATAAGTCAAAACAATTTGTTTTCTTCTCGTCGATTTTCCCCCGAGCCCAGCAAGTCAACGATCTGTGAGACCCAATTCTTAACCATTTGTTATGTGCAGGATAAAACATATCTGGGCGAGGATGCCTCTTCTAGTCAGAACTCACGCCATGGAAGAAGGCAAGTTTGCTGTAAGCTTCATTTCCATGTCTATGGTTTTCCCCTTCTGTGCTGTAACCTGCATGGTCTTCTTCCAGGGTGCACTTCCCCAGGTCATATCGCCGGTCGACTGCCTTGGATTCTTCTTCCCCCCGCCTCTGAGCTGTCTTCCTAAATGGGTCTCGAGGCCTGTAGAGGCTCACTGAAGAGGGGATGGGCCAATTGGCTCTGCTGCAGTCTCTGCCGTGGACGATTGTTTTCAAGATTTAACAATCAGTTCCCCTGGTCACTGCATCTCCCCTGAAAGGAAATTCGAGCTTCAGCTTTGATAGCTGCTTGCCTCTGCATTAAACAGTTGATGTATCATTGGCGGTCGATCCTCCCTCCCCCTTCTGATTCGTAGAAATCTTGAAGGATCCAGGAAGCCTACAACTTGGTATGTTTCTGAGATGAAGATCCTGAATCTTGATGTTTGCTGCAGATTCCATGTGACTGCAGGCAATTGATCGGACATCTTCAGACGAGTGTGGGTTGAATCTGAACTGATCTTCCAACCCCGTTGTGGAGGGCCATTCTGCTCCCCGACTGCGTTCCTTCCTCGCGTTGTTCTTCCATGTAACGGTTTCCTCAAAGAGATAGCGGCGCAGACGACAGTGGAAAGGAAGAAGAAGCACTCGAGTACACACTGAGCTCTGCTTCCTTGAGATGGGGCAGGAGTAGAGATAAACGCGAAGGGAAAGAGACGGGGCGGGGGGAGATCCGGAGAAATCCAGATCTGAGCCACGAATCGCCGAGAAACTTCCAGAAAAGAATCAAGAGCCGGAGCGATTCGAAACCAATCTTCATGTTTTCGAAGAGCAACTCCCAGAATCGGCGGACGGGAAATGCTAAAAAATCTGACGCCGGAGATGGCGAGAAACCGGAATCAAGTTCATCGAAGGGAAGGCTTCCGGAAGACAACTCCATGCCGGAGCTGCTGCTGCAAGTCCTCCGATTCAAGGAACCTCGGAAGGATTCGGAGACGAACCTCCGGACGATGGATACAAAGCCAGGTTCCGTGGATCTCCATGATCTCTAGGCAGAACTATCAGAGGACAAAATCTGCAGTCGACAGGTTATCGAGTTCGGCGCATCTCCATGCTGCCAAAGAGGAGCAGAGGTTCCAGAACAGATTCAACGAATCTGGAAAGAAACTTTACCGACTGTCCAGCGTTCAATGCCCCCGAGTCTGCGCTTCGACCTGTTCCATTGGCAGGAAGCAGCGGCTGGCTGATTCGTCGCAAAACCAGGCGACCGCTCTTTTGTCCCGCCTCTCAAGCAGAGGGAGACACGCATTTCCAGAAAACGTGTTCAATGAGAAACGTTACTAATTATTCGTAAATAAAAAATCAGATATATTAATTTTCAGAATATTCTGAATATTTAAAATTATAATAATAATTGGTTTTCTTGAGTATGCTTTACTTTTATATATAAATATATCAGTCGAATGAATTTATTTTTTTATTTTTTTACCTTTTTTGTTGACTGAACTGTTTTAAACACTTCTAAGCATCATAAATTGTAAAAAACCTAAATTCAGTTTATTTTCTGAATATAAATAATTTTGATATCAGTTAGTTTATATTTGATTACATCTAATCACAGCAGATCGCCGCGGGGCGCTTCGAGGATTAGCAACCTGTGAGGAGCTCCACGGGAAGGAGGCCCCCATCACCGGAAACCGCCGCGGAGAGGAAGAAGAGGGGAGAGGGGATCGATGAACTCACCACGACAGAAGAGAGGGACTCAATAGGATCTGAAGAATAAAATATAATGGTATTATGACAAAAAAAATATCTCTACAGAAGATGCGTGATCAGCAGTTCCTTTTTTTTTTTTCTTGGATCAGCAGATCAGAAGGACGGATCCTCATGAGGACGGCCGGAGGAGGGAGATGGCGGCATCAGTGGGAGACGATGGTCTCGAAGCAGTTGATCCCGTCGAGCTCCACGGCGAAACGGGCGCTCTCCTGCGATTTGCGAACCTGCGGGGGCTTCGCCTTCTCCGCCGGTGCGGCCTTGCGGTCCTTCGCGGCGGACCACGCCTTGCTCATCCACTCCTGCGCCTTCCCCGTCTCGCGGGAGATGTCGGCGGCGGAGCTGAAGATCGACATCGAGAAGAGGAAGTCCATGGCGGTGGCTGCTGTGGAGATTGAAGACTGAGCAGAGAGGGAGGCGAGGAGGGAGAGAGGAGGTTGCAGGTTTAATGGGGAACCCCGGCGCAGCTTTATATAGGGGGGGTTGGGGAGAGAGGAGCCGTCGGGAAGACGGACGGAAAGAGGGGTTACGATAAGTATGACCAGGAAGGGAAGAGTCGTCGGGACTGCGTCAAAGCCACGAGCTGGATTTCTCTTACTCAACAGACGGCGACGACGGAGGGGGCGAGCGACTTCATGGAAACGTGCCAGAAGCGCGACGTCGAAATTGGAAGCTTTTCAATTAACGGACTCCATCCCCGCGCCGTAATTCTGTGGCCGTCGGTCAACGCCGGGTTTTCCACCGCCCGCGGGGGACTCTATGTCGGCCGTCTGAACGCGTTTTTCGCTGCTTTTTAATGCCGCTCCACCGTTTCCTTGACACGACGGCCGGCGAAGGTTCTCCTGGGATCGCCGGCGCCGTCAACAACGCAAGGGGTTATCAAGAACGAGCTCCGCGTATTTGGGATTAAAATTAGCAAAAAATTCAATAACTCTCATTATGCGGCCTACATTCTCTCAGATATTGCATGGAGAGAGAGTTTCCTTTTTTGAGTTTCTTCAAACCCGCCTCCTCCTCAGGTGGCCGTCGAGGGAGACGAAGAACGAATAGAAAGCTCGGCATCTTCACGGAATAATTCTCGAGGTCTAGGCTAGGGAAGAACACGGAGAAAGATCTCGTGTATGCTTCCATTCAAGAAGAACCGAGAAACAGATCGGGGGGCAATCGCAAGGGAGAAGGGAAAGCTTTCGTATCGTTAGAGCTCTTTTTGACAGAGGGTGTTATGGTTGGTTTCATCGGCTAATCAGAAGGAAAAGTAGAAAGAATCGGTTGAAGAGGATCCCTAAGAAGGCGTGCGGGCGCGTCAGGCGGAGATGATGGTCTCGAAGAAGTTGATCCCGTCGAACTCCGGCGCGAAGCAGGGGCTCGACCGCGGTTTCTTCGTCGTCGCCTTGGGCTTCTCCTTCCCTTGCGCTCCCTCGGCCGGCGCCATCCTCTCGCTCTGTTCTTGAAGTTTCACCTGCTTCGCCACATCGCCGCCCTGGCGACCATCCAACGCCGCCGTCTGCCTTCGGTACCGCGCCAGCGTCTCCTCTCGAATGCGATCCAGGCGGGGACCCGAGGTCAAGATCTGCATCGGCAACATGAAGTCCCCCATGGCGAACAGAGGAATCGAAAGAGCCGGAGTAGATTGGAGATGGAGCACAGGGAGGGGAGGCGATCAGAGGAGGAGGAGGAACTCCACTGGAGAGTAGAACAGGTTCCTCTATATATGGGGAGGGGGAGGGCCCGAAGACTGCGGCAACTCCCCGCCGTGATCTCCGGGGGGGGGGGGGGTTGCCGATGACGACGAGAGCGGGAAAGTCTGTTCCGTGCGGGACTACGTTAAGAGCCCGGATCTGTCAGCCCTCTTTCCGTTTGGCCGTCAAGGAATATTCCGTTCCGGACGCGGCTCTAGAGCAGATTTTCCGTGGGCCGGGTTTAAAAAACCCCCGTGCGGATACGGTGGGCTTACTTGGTTTAATTAAAAGGTCAACTTTACAGATCGACGCAGGCCTCCACGATGGGCCACCGTCGGCGTCTCCGACTAGGCCGGGGAAACGCGTGATCCAGTTCAACTACAGCCGCAAGCAACTTGGTCTTCTAGATTCAGCGAGCGTATCCCCTCGTCTTTTCGGCTATCGATAGAGTATAAAATTTCAGACACGACGCGTACTTAATGATAATCGGGAATCCGGAAATAATAAAAAAATAGGGATTTAGCGATGGTATTTATAGAAAAAATGATATTTCTATCGACGAGGTGCGTTCGGAGTCTAGAAGAAGTAGATTAACCCGATTACAATCCGGGAGGAGGAACATACCAGAAGAGATCAGAGCCTGAGCGCGGCAATGGCCTCGGGCTTGAAGTCAACCCTTAGGCCCAGGATCCTTCTGACCTCGGCGGGGGTCAGGCGCCACGTCATCGTGCCGGAGTTCTCCCCCCAGAAGTCCAAGATCTCGGAGACCTTCTCGACGTTGAGGACGGTGGTCATCTGGGTGAGGCGGGCGAACTTGTCCCGGACGGGGCGCTGGGTCATCCCGTAGAAGTGGTTGACCAGGGCCCTGATGTCTCGGTCCAGCTGGAGGCTCCCCAGAGGGGTGAACCGCTTGTGGACCATCAGGACCTCCAGCCTCTTGACCACGAAGTCAACGACCAGGTGGACGCAGGAGTCGTAGTTGCTGGGGGTCAGCAGGGGCTGCAGCCAGGCCACGTTGGTCTCCACGGCGTGGAGGAGCTTCTGGACCCAGGGGTCATTGACCTCGTACTCCTCGTACTCCGATTCGGAGAGCTCGTAGCTGATGGTTCCCACGCTGTCCAGAACGGGGCGGATCCGGGGCGTCAACGTCGTCGCCAGCTGCTCCATCCCGGCATTCAGAACCTGCTTGAAGCTGTTGCTTATTTCGCCCCACTCGGACACGCACGACTTCAACTTGTCTCGGTCGCCCGGCGCAGGGAACACCTGCATCACATATGATAAGAAACGTTTCATCCCTCTCAGAATGTGCAGAGATCTTGGTTGGTCAAACGAATCTGCACATTCCTTCGCGTATCCTTCGGATGGACCGCGTTAACTTCTCATGCAGAACACAATAACATCATAATCGTTCATCTCAATTTAAAGCTGAGCAAAACCATACTCATCATTGGAGGTCATGGAAATCATCGTCAGATGATTCGAATCAGAGGGATGATGCAAATCACACACACCAAAGAGAAAAACTGCGGCAGGTACAATGACTCGAGGGTTTTGGAAGCTCACTTACTTCTGCACATTGTTCCTCGATCTCGTGACGCAGCTTCAAGACGTATTCTGCGCTCACGTCGATGTTGTTCAAAGCAGTCGCAATGTCCGTCCCTGTTTTCTGTGCTCCAGCTCCACCAAGAAAGAGCTTCGCCCCCAGGTTCGGCTCTCTGATCTTCTGCTGTAATGCCTCCTGATACTCGTTGCTCAGCAAGTTCATTGCGCAGCTCAAAATTGCAAAAACCGAGTTGATATTGGCGGTGGAGATAGCTCGTTGGCAGCAGCTCTGAAGAACATAAAACACATCATCCACCAATGAAGTTGTGAGGCTATCTGGCACCTGCTCGTCAATTCTTATTGCCTTCCTGATATTCTCTACCATGAAGAACTCTTCTAGAATCACATAAAATCCAGTTAGCTCCTGCACCATCCGGCTGAAGCTGCCGCTTCGGAATGCCTTCGTGGCCCGGGGACCGAGCTCCTGATCTGCGGAACCCAACCCCCTAATCTTAGACACCATGAACTCCATGTAGTCCTCTCCAAGTTGAGTTAGTGTTAAGATCTCCTCAAGGTGTTTCTCAACTTCCCTCGGATCTGGCCCCTCTGTAGCCGCAACCGATAGCAGGTTCTTGCTGTAGGAGTTGATCTCGGATGCTAACCTCGGCAGCTTCCTGTACTCCATGTATTTCTTCAGGATCTGTGTTCCTCGGGAATCGCACTCTTCTTGCAGTTCACATATCGCGTACACAATCCCATCATCCCCACAAAGGCTACTCAGAACTTTGTCCTTGTCATCCAAGTCCTTCTCCTCGATAGCCTCGACTATGTCCTTGAACAAATGCATCAGACAATCCACGAAATTGACTTCCTCCGGAGCTGGTGGATTGACCTGATGCGGCCTCCGCTGCTGCTGCTGCTCTGAGAGCTCAACTAGGCGTTCAAAATCCAACCTAGATCGGAGGGCAATCTCTTTCCGGAGGTAGGCAACGTAAACCTGGAGCCCCTCATCCTGCAGACCCAAAGGGGGGAAAGTCCTCACAAAGCGGAGGATGCTGGGCTTCTCCCTCTGGTCAATAGCTGCAGAGAGCCGGCGTCGCACAATGGATTCGAGTTGCCGCTTAATCTCCATCATCTGCTCCCGCTGATCGGAGCCAGGGTCCCGGTAACGAGCGTCGATCTGGAGGAAGGTGCGGACGAAATCGGCCGCTGACTCATAGTCCTCGACATCAAGAGCTCGGCGAGCGCCATCAAGGCAGTGGCCGCGCTCGACGACTGCGTCAATACGAGAAAGTGTGGCCTGGACGTGCGACTGTGCAAGGTCAAGTTCTCGGACCTTGGAGCTGACACGGTCGGCAAGATCGGAGGTGGAACGGACGGAGGAGAGAAGGTGGTCGGCGTCCGACCGCACGGAGGAGAGCAGGTGGTGGGAGGACCGATCAAGGGAGATCAACTGCCGATCATGATCGGAGCGCTGCGCGTGGAGGGCCTCCAGATTGAGATCCAGAGAGCGCTGGTAGGCGATGCACTCGTGCAGGAGGCGCGTCATGGCGCCGACGTCCGTCAGATTCCGGATCTGGTCGAGGGTTTGCCGACTGCCGAAATTGACCGGACTTTCTGCCGGCCCTAGCTCTCCGTCGTCGACCGCGAACTCGTCTCCCGCCGATGGCGACGGCGGCGGCTCTATGGACATCGCCGCAGAGGAAGAGAGGACCGCCATTCCCCCCCCCGTTCACTCCGCCTGTCCCAGAGGGAGGCAGTAAGAAGGGGAACCAGATCTGACCTCCAGGCTCCGTACCGGTTATATACTGTCCCCTTCAAGAAGAAGAAGAAGGTGCCATTGCCCTTATACGGCCCAATAAAGAACAAGAGGGTAATCCAGCCCAAAACAGGTCCATCTTGGACCTAAATAAATGGGCCGAATTCATACCGAATCAAAGCGTCAGTCTTTAAAGGCGGAATGTAGTCGGGAGGTTCAGCAGTTCCACAGAGACAGCGAGAGCGAGAGAGAGAGAGAGAGAGGCGGTGAGGCGGGGGAAAAGGGAGACTGGAGAGCTGCGACGAGGGTTCCTGATCCGCCGCGATGAGCAGGAGTCTAGGGATACCAGTGAAGCTGCTCCACGAGGCGGCGGGGCACGTGGTGACGGTGGAGCTGAAGAGCGGGGAGCTCTACAGGGGCAGCATGCTGGAGTGCGAGGACAACTGGAACTGCCAGCTCGAGAACATCACCTTCACCGCCAAGGTCTGCCTGCATTCTTTGTACATTGTCGCTTGTGCTGGGAAACTAGGTCTTGTTTTGTACATTACGCGATCCTTGTTGCTTGGGGTTTTGAGGTTTCAAGGCACATCTTAGGCAGAGAGCGGAATGCCGATGAAACATTTTTGAAATCATCAGAGTCAGGACAGTAAGGGAAAGCAGTGATATTCCGATTCTTTCGTGGGGAATCAACGAAGGCAGCCGTTCCAGCAGCTTGCTGACCTTGGAGAGGCATCTCCAGGCAAGCACATAGTAGTACGTTGGATTTTTCACTATACGATTCAGGAACACCAAAATGTGAGGGAGGGTGGTTGATATGTTAAAGATTGCGGCCCAAAAATGGACTCCTCCTAATGATTTCCGTAAACTATTCCAATCGATCAGCAGAGTCAATTGAAGATTTAATCCTTTTGACAGCTTTTTCAAGAGCTAGCTTTGAAAATCCGAAAATGTTCTCCATGCTGCGTTAGCCTTCAGATGCTCATTCATCTTTCCTCTTCCTTATATTTTCATATGATCGTCTGGAAATGAGGACTGTGGTGACTAGATAAGGAGAAGCCAAGGTTCCTACATAGAACAAATAGTCTAAAAAGAAAGCTTAAACAACCTCTTCCTTATATAAAATGAATCTATGCCCATCGAGGAGAAGGGACCGTATTTCTAGAGTTACTTTCCATTTTCTTTTGTACGTCAATATCAACTAGTGGAAGTCCGTGGCACCTTTATTACTGCGACTAGGCAACGAGAATGCTTCAGTCAAGTAGAAGCGAAACCTAGTGGAATATTTCATCCTTCTTATTTCCAAACAGTCATTTGTCTTCTGCCCCGTGCTCCACAAAAGCAATAAATCTTTCAAGAGGAACCTCCTTCCCCCACTCTTGGGATACCCCAAGACGCCGTTCTCAATGTGTTGGAGTCAGGTCATCATATTGCTTTCAGACATCGTCAAACCACTTTTGGATGCATATGTGGAAAGGTGGTTTTATGGGAGGAAGTAGATTGAGGACAAGAGCCCATTGTCTATACTTAGAACATGCTACCTCTTTCTCTTCTTCTTCTTTTTTTTTTTTAATTTTTTTTTTTATGACTCAATGGCTTTCCTTCTTGATGAGACGCCATTGTCTTTGCACCCGAATTGAGGAATTCTTGTTGGCTGTATATTGATGGATGTTTCATATTTTCAATGGGCATTATCTTCTTCAGGACGGGAAGGTATCACAACTGGAGCATGTGTTTATCCGAGGAAGCAAAGTAAGGTAGGCGTTTTTGTTTTTGTTTTTTTTTTTTGTTTCTTTGTTTTTTTTTTTTTTTTTTTTTTGATGTGTTGCTGCCTCTCAAGAAATTACTGGAAGAACTTCTACTTGTGAGTCTAATATGACCCACCTGCACGATTCTTGTGTCAGGTTTATGGTGATACCTGATATGCTCAAGAACGCCCCAATGTTCAAGAAATTGGATGCAAGAATAAAGGTATCTAGATTTATGACGTCACGCCCAGCAAATCCCTTGTCTAATCAAACGCATATACCACCTCACAAAATGATTTTTTATTTTCGAGTTAATGGATTCTTATCCATTTCTTGCTTTATTTTCCTCAAGGGAAAAAGTTCATCTATCGGAGTTGGTCGTGGGCGTGCAGTTGCAATGCGAGCCAGGGTAAACAATCTTTTAACCTTTATTATTTTCCCTGGGAGACTTCTTTTTTCCTGCTTTTACCGTCTTTTGATGGAGTTGACCATCTCCTCATCTTTTGTGTCTATGAAAAAAAGAAGGAAAATGGAAAGCTGTCTCAAAACCGATGACAAGTTGAATCATTAAGCATAAAATCTGTGTGGGGAATAACTGGCATTTAGATTGTGGGCACTCACTGTTTCTCACTGGACATCGTTCTGTAGGCTCAAGCTGCCGGCCGAGGCGGCGGCCCGATTGGTCGAGGAGCGGCGCCGCCGGTGAGGAGGTAGCGACACCCCAACAGGGTTTCATTTGCGTGCTTGGGTAGATCTATGGATGTGAAACGGGTAGTGGTGGTAGTTTGGACGTGTCATTTGAGTTGATATATAGAGAACGAAGACTTTGGTCTCTGGAATTTTGGAGGACGAATTATAATATTTTTTTTAAATCTGAATGAAGAGTCGTCCTTACAGAACCTGAGGGAAATCAACGCCACCCTAAGGGTGAAAAGAATCTCAAGTGCTGGTTTCAGGATCGGCGGGGGGCTTCCCACCTCGTCAAGTTGACTGGGCTGGGACCATGCAGAGCATGGCGCGGTCGGGGTTATGTTCGAGGGGGTACAGGGTGGCGCCCTTCATGCGTTCTTGGAGCTCCCGGGCTTCCTTTCTCAGGGCGGCAGCGCCACGGGGAGGCGGCCCCTTCTTCCCCTGCGGTCGTTGTTTGATGATGGAGCACGAGCTCAAGGAGTCTCGGGGCCCTCCCCTCCTGTACAATCTGGGAGTGCAGATGGGCGGTTGTTAAGTTCCTCACAAACATTTCGCAGGCAAACGCACTTATATATCAAAGACATAAACCATGCAAATACCATAGAGAGAGAGAGAGAGAGAGAGAGAGAGAGAGAGAGAGAGGCTGTAAAATTGATTGCAAAGGCGGTTCATAAGAGATTTCGCAGGCAAACGCACTTATATAATATCAAAGACATAACCATGCAAACAACATAGATAGATAGATAGAGAGAGAGAGAGAGAGAGAGAGAGAGAGAGAGAGAGAGAGAAGGGACTGAAAAAAAAGGAGAGTGGAGAAGATGTGGCTACCTCAGCAGCTTCTCTGATGCAATTCGCGCAGCATGAATCAGGCTGCGACTGGGCAACGGGTTCACTACACGATTGAAGTCTGCCCGCATCGGCGAGTGGATCTTGACGAGCTATCAAATAAACCCCGAACAAGTTAAGATGATTACCGAGTGTAAGTAACGGGTGGGGGTGGGTTTAGAGACTCAGGGAGAGGAGAGCTCACTCCGAGGCATTCCATCATCTGATAGTAGGCCCTTCCGTGGAGTGGAGTGTGGCCCTGTCTGGACTCCGAGAAGTACCTCGTCCTGAAATCGGACAAAAAAGATTCTACAAATGGATAAAAAGGATCCACGTGGCTACCATCGTCCAGAGACAGGGTTGGAGATACCAGATTGCTCCCTCACCATTCCTTATAACCCGGATCCACAGTGAAACCATACATGTCGACTGAGTCACAAATGGAGAGAGCGAACTCAAGAGCCTTTAGACCCGTTCCTTTCGCTGATGAACCAAAGGATGCACCGAGGAAGAGGTATATAGGGTTTGTAATGGGGAGTTCCTGCGAAAATAGAATCCGAGGAAGGAAAATGTTTATATCCTAATAAATTGCTGGTTTTTTATAGAAGGGAAGTAACCAAACTGTATGGAAATGGATTTTATTTCAGATTAATCTCACTGATTTCACGAGCATGGACTTCTAGAAAATCAGCGCAAAATTATATAATAATAATATGATACAGAAATAGTCGAATATTTAAGTGAAAAAGGAGTTTGATGCCCGGTAAAATTTCCCACTGCAGTCATGCTGAATTTTTTTTTTTAAAAAAAGAATATAACCGCTATCTCCTTCTAAATTTTTGACATCTTATTGAACAGAAAAAATTTATCAAAAACCCAAGATTTTGATTTAAGACACGAAACAGCCAATGATATGAACGTAAGTAAGAAATCTGAAAACGCATGTAGAAGCAGAGACAACATGATGGCAACACATGAACCTGGATCATTTTATTCATGATGTCATGAATGGTTGTCTTGATGATTAGCACCTCTTGTCTGGTTTCTGTAAAAGAAGAAGACAGCTTAGAATATTTGCAGTTACGTGAGATGAACCCAGGATGAAAGCATCCAGCTCCTTTACCATCTAGTTCCACGACTTTATCAAGAGCCTTGGCGGATCCTCTGTTGAGAAGGCGAAAAGTGCTTTTCTTCCCCACGAATTCGGTGTAGTTCTAAAATTATAAGCAGAAGATAAAAACAAAAAAATCGTTAAAATTTAAAATTACTGTTTTCCTAAAAGGGAAAATAGAGGGAAAAAGCTGCACTAACCAATGGAGAAAGTACTGTTACCAGACCTGGATAGGAGCACCGTTTTCACGAATAACAACATCATAACCATCTATTTCCTCGCCAAACTTTGTTTTCAAAAGATCCCCAGAGTTGCCAATTACAGCACATCTCCCAAATTGTCGTGGCATCAATGGCGGTGTTTCAGGAAGCACTAGTGAAAGCTTCTCCATGCAAAGAGTTTTATTTTGACAGTTATTTCTGAATTAAGAAAACATCGAAGTAAGCAACTTAATCGTACTTGTAAAGAGTTCTAAGGCTAAAATTAGTACTTTTAAGACAGATCACAAGGAAGTTTTCATAAGGATATCCCCCCATGTTAGAGCTCACATCATGGATCCAAGGAAAATAATGCAGTGAGTTTTGCCCAATTATAAGACAGCAATTAATTTACTTACAGAAGAATGCCCTTGTTTATCCTCTGCCATGCATATTCCTCCCACCCATTCGGTAGAGCATCAATAAACTCTTTTGTAAGTATTGTGGTACTATTCCGAACCTGCAGATCAGTACACAAAGTCAGTCTTCAATACCGGTAACATTACACGGTTGTAAAACCAAAATGGCCACACTAGACACATTGGGATCAAAACACCCTCACATAGAAACACATGCACACAACGAATCCTATCTGCACTGGCCAATAACATCTACAACTTAGATTGGCAAAATGGAATTTCCAGAATAACCATCAAACAAAATTGACTGTGCCAGAACTACCATTTCAGATAAGTAAACCAGGATGGAGTGCAACACAGTCGTATGTTTCCAAGCAGGGAATGATACATCAGGGATGTACCACAGGTCAGACATTTTTTTTCGGAAGGACATTCGAAAGAAGGGGAAACAAAGGATGAGTTCCGTACATGTGGCTTGACTAGTGATCTGTCCCCAAGGAACTTGAGTAATACAATGTGAATGAAAGAGAAAGAATCGCATGGTTTCTCAATACATCGGATGCTTGAGCAGGTATCAAAACAGACCGTCCGCTTACCACCACTGAGTAACATTGAACAAATAAGCATACCTGCTCCCACGTCACAACAGCCTCACATAGATTGAAATCAAATGATAGACCTTCAAGTTCCCCAGATTTTGGATCTTTCTGCAGAAATTGAAGTTCCTGTCAGCTCAGTTGGCACATTCAGAAACAAAAAAATGAAGTTCATTTTTCGGAACATAAATCTATCTAATTATGATTCCATCAGTTTACATCGTGTGCGTATTCAATGCGGACGTTGTGCAAGAAGTGGCTTGGTCCACGAATGAAAGCTCAATAATATGTTGTCTATTGAACGTACTTGGCGTTTATGTACGTGACGAGTCCTTTGTAATACAATTTGCTCCTTTGTTAAGAAGAGGGACAGGTAGGAAATAATTAATGGCTTCTTATATTCCTCAGAAGGATGCATGAGTTCATGATATTTCCATGGTTATGTGTAGAGTCCAGTAACTGTCGCATGGGAAGGATGGGATGCCTTGGGCCGGCTAAGGAAAAAACAAATACATGATAAGAAATAAAGAGAACAACTTACCCACATTGGCACTGTGTCTTGAGGAAATTTTAACGTAATTTGACAATCATCTCTACCATCCACAGCTTCCAGTCCTAACCCATTTGCTTTCTGAAATATCATTGAGAATCCGCCATTGATATGTGAATATCCTGATATGAATTTCTTTCATTGAAGCACAGTTTTCTGACTTGAAACTATTCCAAAATTAACAAATGATCCTAATTATACTATAAAAGTATCAGTATACAATAATTGAATCGGTAAGAAGAGAAGATTGCCTCACCGCGCAAGGATAAAAAGCATAACACAAGGATAAGATCACAAAATTTATGGCACTATTGTCAATAGTTTTTGCTCTTCAGGGCATGAACGAAAAGGAACAACGGTTTCGGGATTTCAAATTACAACGTAACAATAATGTCTCGTAAAGGATGCTAGCAAAATCCCGAGATGGATCTGTGAGACCTTATTAGAGAACAAAGGAAGTTGCTGAAAAAACACTAAATACATTTCTTATCCCTTTTCCCAGGTATAGATCCAGGTTTCCAACATTCGCTTTACCGACTCAATATTTCGCACTTAATAGAATGAGACATGAAAACGGTACATATTCAGGCACTGGTACCAGAACAGTGGCGTTAAAAAGCCCTAATGCAAAGGTATTGAGTCCAGGAAGATGCATTATAAATAAATTAGCACAGGAAGACACGAAGTAGTTGAACCTGTCTTTATTTCCTTTTATATTGACCACCGAGTTACTGACTAAAATATTGACGTTTAAAAAGAAATTATGAACCGATGGAGAAAAAATATCAATGAAAACAACTTTCCGGAGATGAAGCTTACTGACTTTCATGAAATTATCTTTCTCGTTGATTCTTACCTATTAAAGTATACGTCCGAAGCCACCAATGATAAAACAGAAAAAAAAAATACCATTGCTGTCTTACCACGCACTTCCTGAAGCTGTTGCGAAGGGTAAACACTGCACGTAGATCTTCTTCCGAAACCGAACCGTAAAGGTAATCTGGCAAAGAAAGAATGGAAAACAAATTTTAAAAAATCGACAACAGGGTTCAAGAGGAAAGGAAGAAAGTGAGAATTCCGATGATCACTTATGCCAACGAGAAAACGGATCTCGAACTCCAGTGAACTGGAGGAAACTCACAGGAATTAGGGACTCCGACAATGAAGACCAGAATCGCGCTGAGACAAGCTGTCAGAGACACCAAGAGTCCCCACTGCAGGATCCTCATCTGGCGATCTAGCCAATCCGAATGCCTGCCGTCGAGCTCAGGATCTCCTCCTCGGGATAATGGCACTCGGAAATATAGGTAAAGGCGAGAACAGAGCACAAAGGCGGCAGGGGAGATGCCCTCTGGATCTACTCCGCCACAGTTCGAACACACGAGCTCTCTCTGCACCGCCCGAAGGACCCATCTAACAACCAGACCGCCTTCGTTCGCACCGTCAAATGGGCCGTCGTCTACGAAAAAAATGGGCCCGATATCACACTAATTCAATGGGTCATTAACGTGTTTAAGGCAGTGCTGACGTTGGGCCGACCCATCCAAGCCCAACAACTTCCCGAAATTATTTAATATAACAGTGAGAAGCCCAAATACTAAATATAGGCCCTGTCGGCCACTTATTAAAGTGGGCCCATTAACCCCCCATCTCTCTCTCTCTTCTTAGGGTAAAAACTGTTGATTAATTAGACTAAGGGCTCTTTCTAATGTAAGAAACAGAGCTGACGTGGCCCCTAATTCTCCGTGCTCGCTCACTCGTGGGCCGGTGATGCGATCGATTAGGTCGTCGGCGCCGGAGGAGACGGCGGCGCTGTTTCCCTGTTTCTGTCGACATCCGACGATTCAATGGGTGAGAAGATGAAGCTCTAGGTCGTGGCTCTTTGGTAACTTGGAATCATTCGAGTCAATGGTGGCCGAGAAGAAGAACACTCCTCCGGATCTACAGAGTCTGATGTATCACCCTTGTCTTTCCTCTTCCATTTTTGGAAGATAAATGCGTGCAGAGATCGGTGGATACTCTGTGCGACTCTTTGAAGGCAGTTGTACTGTCGTGACATCTTGGCCACTGTCTGTCTTGGGGATATTTCACACATATAGGCACTGGAAAACCAGTGAATCATTACATTCAACATGAACTACGAAATTATAATGCCTTTCGAATATTTGATACTTTCGGTCATACTGTGGATGAGCAGTCTGTATCCGGGAATGTGGTATATTGTGAGTACAAGTAGGAGCGTCTTTTTTCCATTTTCTGTTCAGTAGTATGCCCTTAGCCGCTAATGCTTCGTTTTTTAAGATGTGATCTCGAAATAGGAATCATGTTCTTGTTTGTTTCCTTTTCTTCATGCCGTAAACTCAATAGTGACGGCACCCACTTTCTTTATATATATATATATATATATATATATATATATATATATATATATTATCGCTGACTGCCCGGATTGAGTCGATTCTGATCTGCAGAAAACACAAGGGCAATAGGCTTCCTTAAGAAAATGACTTCGAACAGGTTGTTTTTGATGCTTTCATTGCAATATTCCCTCATGCTACGCTGATATCTCATTGTCATTTGCACAAGCATCTGATCAGTTCCTAGCTTCTCTCGAGATTTTCAGTCACCGAAATTTTGGTTGGCCGCATTTTTACACTGTCATAACACAGTTAATCAAGACCCTGGTTTCCTTGTAAAAAAAAAATATGTATCCCCGCGATAAGGTTCTATCTAGTGTGAGATGTCACATATATTCTGAGATTATGCACGATTCCTTGACCCTATCATTTTTATTTGCATTAAAAAATTTCCTGATAACTTCATTTGCCCATGTTCTTTATCAGTTAGTTTTAAAATTTTAATGATCCATTGCAATCTGAATTTTTACCTTTTGAGTTCAAATGTGTTTTTTCATTCATCAATTTCGTGAAGCTAATCACATCGATGGTCATATCTAGTAATCATGATACTTACCAGGTATGAGCTCCTGTTGGTTACTTGCGGCAAAGAGAAGGGAAAGGTTTTCTTGCTTGCTAATAAATGTTAAATTATTATCACTATTTATTCTCATTTATGTTTTTTTATTTTTTATTTTTTGATTTTCTTACTAGAGTCATTTTTATTAGGATGGAGTAAGGTGGTCGCGTTAGTTGTGCCTGATCCAATCTGGATCGGACTATTTGGGTTGATTCCTGTAAAATGCCGGCAATTCACTGCCCACAGCCTGTTTACTACTAAACTGGGTATGATTTAAATGCTATGACGATTTTTTTTTCTGGAAATTTGTACAAAATAAATATCGTAATAGACATTGTACTATATAAGAAAACCTTGTTCCCACCCATCACATGAAAGGGGCCTGGCATCAGTAAGAGGAAGGGACAGCAGTAACTCATGGTCTGGACCTGCTCTGCTAATCGAAACTCCCGAGTTAGATCAAAAGGTCCCAAATACCATGACTAGAACAGAAGTAGAATGAGCCTCATATCGTCATTTTTTGTTATTATTATTGGGAAGTGGCTCTTATCCTGTTCTTAGTTTTCCTGTAGTTTCTTAATGAATGAAAATAAGTATCATCATATGATTTTCTGTAGTAAAAAAAGGAAAGGGAAGTGAGAAAGATGGACAAAAAAGTGTTCTGTCCTGGAAAAGTATCAATTTTGTGATCTCTGAACGGTCAGGTTCCCTGTGTTCTAAATAACAGCGTAGTTTTGTCATTCACACTCTGGAAGCATCATCTTGAAGTTCATTACATGATTTTGAAAGGAAAATGGTGATCATAATCCGATGTCTTCTATGATGACCTGAGGCAATTACGACATCCTATGAAGAAAAGTTCACTAGCACTGTTCTTTTGGGTGGTTGGGTTGGAAATCATGCGGCATTTCCCAACAGATGCATCGTGGGGCTAAATGTTTTCTCGAATGTACCAGTTGTGAGGGCTCCTGGGTATTGAGATTTTTCTTTCCCTTGTTCAATTAGCATTGAGATCGATCACCACACCACCTCTATCATACATACGACATCACAGGAAGCAGCAGCAGGCAGGTGCTTGCTGTGGTATGAAGAAACTCTCAAAAGCTCTGATGGTTGAGGCACAATATCTAATTTTTTTTCAAAATCTGCATATTCCTTTTTAAAATCATGTCCCCTTTTCTCCTTTTATCTTGGAACATATGTAAACTCACGTGTGTGTGTGTGTGTGTGTGTTGTGTGTTTGCTTGGTTTTCTTTGTTCATCGCATGGTACAAATATTCTCTTCTCTTTGCCATTTCATTGCCACCAACACCGCTCACTGGCTCCAAGAAATGGGATTTCTTGATACCTGAGAGACCAGTCATGACTTTATTGCCACTTGGGGCAGGTCAGCGCGTTTGGGTTGCTCAAAGATGGGCTTGCCCCCTATCCTTGTGAATCTTCCTTCGGCCATGGCAGATGGAGAGAGCCTTTCTGTGGCAGCTGGTGGTGGAGCACCGGCACCATTCCTAGCTAGTCTTTTGGCTTTTCTGTCTTCTGTAGAAACGCTCTGATAAGTGAGAGCCTAGACGCTTGTAGCATGAACTCCTGCTGGAAGGTAGCTTGAAATAGATTCATATATACTTTGCTTAATGATTATGAATCATTAAGCAGTGTAATTTGCTCCAGAAAAAAAATTATGGGCATAACTAGTTTTTTAAGCTAGAAAAAAAAGGGTCATGGCGTACTTGCGGATTTTTCGCTCCTATAATCTTGCCTTAATATGAGGAGAAATTTTGGGAGATTATTAATAATTAAAATGGCACTATTAATGATGAACTTGGGGAATAATTTCTCAAAGTCAACGCTATAATGATGAACTTAAAGGTCTAATTAGGGGGTTTATGGCGATAATGGAATACCAAGTTAAGGCACAGTTAAGATCATTTAGTGACGTAATACTGTAAATGATATGGTGCCCAGTCGTCGTTATCCCCTGACCAGGAGTCACCGGGTGACCGATCCATGGATAGGAGCCCTGGTTGGGTATGGGACGCTAAGGAGTAATGGGAAGAAAGAGTTTGCCCACACCACCGTGGTCGTTGGCGTGGCCTTGGAAAAGAGAGAAATCACGCAGAAAACAGAGCCGGGGAAGAAATCAGGTTAAAGGGAAAGAGGGCGATTGTGGAGGGAACTTGGCAGTAGGAGCGACACGATTCCGTCCGCCGGGAGGGAAAAAGGGACGCGCTGTCTGGAGGGAGAGAGAGAGAGAGAGAGAGAGAGAGAGGGAGAGGCTTCCTCTCTCGGGCCCACTCAGGAGCTGCTTCTTCTGCCACTGCTCTCTCCTTCGTCTCCTTCTGGAATGAAGTCTATTCGTCTGGGTTCCCGGCGGCCTCCTCTGCAGAGAAACGCCGCAATGCGCTTGAGGTTTTGCTCTCTCTCTCTGTCTCTCTTCCCCTCGATGCCTCTCTATCTATCTCCATCTGTCGGCGACGATTGGACCCCTTGTGGCGGGTGCTTACAGAAGAGATCTTCGGAGGGAGATTCTGCTTCTCCTTTACTTCCCGTTTCTTGGTATTCTGCGGGTTTCTCCTTTACTTTCAGCTTCTCATAGGACGCGATTCTCTCATAGAGTCTTCTCCTCCTCCCTCCTTCTGTGGGAATCGTAGGGGGATCGAGGGTTGTCTTTGTGATTAGCCAAGACTGAGAGCTGCTATCTTTACCCTTCTAGCGTGGACTTCTTGTGTTCTGTGACTTTCTTACGAGCTGATCTTCGTGTTAGTCGAATGTCAAGGAGTTATAGATTCACATGCTGCACCAGGCAGCGGCGTTTTATCTCCATTGACTCTGGTGAATGGAAAACTTGATCTTCTCCTCCCAGAAGGATAGGCTACAATGCTGCGTATCTGATCGTCATCCCTGACATGTGCATTATGGGAATAAACTCCTAGTACGGCGTAGTATTTTCTTCTATTGATTCTCTCATTCCATTCGGAGTACTCTAACTGGCTCTCCACTGGGTATTGGATCGATGCATGATCAAGGAAAAATTGATCCCCTCCCTTGTTGGATGGTTTAAATGAAATGGAATGGGGAAAATATGGAAAAAAGGGGAAAGAAGGTGAGAAGTTCAGTAGAAAATAGGTGGAGACTCATCCGACTGTTATTGCCTTCAGATTGTTTAATATTATCCGTCATTCAGAGGCAGTTTTCTGTTTTTTTTTTTTGGTTTGTCGAGGGGCATTCAAGGATTTGGTTATTAATGCCTAGACTTGTCTGGTATGATGATATACAGAAGTAAGAATATTGAGCTTTATTTCATCTGTTCTCATCTTTCGGCACTCAAACTGGCATATAATATAAATGTCAATGGCTTAGGAAATATGCTTGAAAATCTTTCCTTTGTCTATTTTTACCTTAGGATTCATTTTAGCGTTGACTAAAAACATAAAATCGTGCGCCCAATCTACGAACTGCAAGCAGCTGGAGCTCTCTACTTCAGTGGAATGAATGTAAAATAGATTCCAATTCATCCAGTGACTTGAAAAGGAAAATTGACAGGTTGGGTTTCCCACGAATGGTTATACTCCATTATGAGGCACTTAATTTTAGAAAGCTTTGGTAGTGATTAGACATGGGTTTATCATTTGGGTTGACTTTGATATTTCATGTAAAACGTTAGATGATCTTCTGTGGTTTTTTTTTTTATAACTTTTATCTCCTTCTTCTCTTGTTACACTTGCACCTTGGTTCAAATGGATATGGAAGAAGGCGTCCAAATGGGTCTCATTGAAGACTTTATGGCGCCTCCACAATATCATGTCGTGATGGGAGCATTCTTTTCAGTTTGACCAGCGGGCTGCTACCATTGGTTGGAGACATCATGAGGGTGAAGGTTGACTTTCTCCTGAGCCCATCATATGCGGAGACTGCCGTTGTTTTATGCTGGTGAACCCTTGTTGCAAGGGTGGTGCTAAATTTCCAATCATGGGTTCGAATTAAACTTGAAACATGTGGCCTATGCGTTCCAATTTATTTTTCAATTTCTCTCCCGGCTCCAAGAACTGTGATTAGGAGTATCTACATGTACCAATCCAGTAGATTTCAGAGAAATGAACGCTCATGACCTGGGGGTTTGAAGCCTGAGGCATCGTCATACTCATCGTTGTTGAATAGCTATGAAGGAAATTATGGATAGCTATATATATAAGCATATTGAGAGAGAGAGAGACTTAGTGGCCCTTTTGTGGGGACTTTAATCTATCTGTCTTTGACATGGGATATTATACGGCAGAGACTGAGTTTGAGCTTATGATTTCCCAATGTTTGCAACGTATCATTAGGATTCGGATTATTACTCCATAAATCCCTTGAATCTTCACCTTTTACCTATTTATTTTCTTTTTCCATCGAAACAGTGAAGAAGATTCTTTCTTTGAACATAGTTTGTTGAGCCGTCTCATGCTTTATAATTTTCTTAGTTTCTATTACCATCTTTACGTGGTATTTCCAACACTATCTGAGAATCTGGATGCTGAACTTGCAGTTTATGAGCTTCCTGAAATGGCATTGAGGGATTTGCCGGTCAAAACAAGAACAGCCGTGGCCAAGGAGAGAGAAGAACCCTTGCCTGATTTCACCATAATCCCCGGGTCAAAGAGGCACCTCTCTGAGCGTCCCTTGAGCCCGCTCCACCCATCGGCCTCCTGCAGCAGTGCAAATGGGCATCTTGTGTACGTGCGCCGGAAGGTTGAAGACTCAGGAAGAGGAGGCACCCGCGACGACATGGAGATGGCACCATCTGCAAAGTCCTCAATATCTCACCGCGACGAGATGAAAAGGCTAAGTTATGAGCAAGAACACTCACAGGAGCCTAAATCTTCCCATTTTCAGTCATTTTCTCCTTGTGCTCTGGGCGAGCCCACAACCGGTTTTTCATCAGAGGAGTTGACCTGTACAGCAGCCTCCACTGGTGGGCCCGCCCAAGCTCACTCCCCCAGTCCGAGCAGAGTGCACTGGAAGGAGCGGTTCCTGAGGCTTCAGACGTTCTTGAAAGCCTGCGACCAGGCCGACCAGGAGGAGTACATCCAGAGTAAGTCCTTTCAGGTGCCATCAGCCCCTCTCGATTCCCCAGTGATGATCTTTATTTCTGTCTGAATGGCGGCTCCGCCAGTGCTTCGATCTCTGTCCTCAGTCGCCAGGAGTAAACACGCGGTGGAACTGGAGAAAAGAGCGATACATCTTCTAATGGAGGAAGGTGGTTAAGCTTCTTGAGCAGGAAATCTTCATTATCATGCTGCCTGATTCTTCTTGCTCGCATTTATCACCAGATATGACTATCGACTGTATTGTTTAGTTTGATATATAGATTTATATTTTTCGATGAAACTAATGAAACAAATTAAATTAATGCGCAGGTAAAGAACTGAAGAGGATGCAGCTTCTGAATGTCTTGGGGAAGATTTCTCCAAATCAGGCCTAGTTGTCGGGCAAATTGACTGCATTGACTGGCATCACGGGAGGATGGGATGAGGTTGCCGTTGGATCTACGAGTTTTGCTTTGGTCATTCCTGAGTGAAGAGTCGTTGACTCCCTACACCATCCGTCTAGAGAGAACTTGCTAAAGAAATAAGATTTAATTATATGATTTTAATTTTTTTGGATAATTCCGACCGAGGCCTCATACTAATTTCTCAAACGTAATGAGTAAATGCGTTCCAAGATTAAATAACGTTGGAAGGCTGACTGACTTAGTGTGGTCATGTGTCTTGTCCAACGATCACTGTTGTACATCTCTGTCTCTCTGTCTCTGTCTCTCTCTCTCTCTCTCTCTCTCTCTCTCTCTCTCTCTCTCTCTCTCTCTCTCGCGCGCTCTAATAAGCCTTGTGCCCATTTTCAGGGCTATTTTCATATTGAGATCAGGGTGAGGGAACTAGGCAAAGAAAGCATGCCCGGATGTCCTAACTATACGGGCCTGATTGATATCCAAACGTATTACCGGCGACTACGTGAATAAGTACGTGTTCTGTATAAGATGCAAACATCTGTGGGACCCGAAACTTATTTTTACGTAAAAAGAGACGACTTTGCCCTTCCACCACCGGAACCGAGTTCAGATGCGCGTTCACTGGTTCGCTTCTATAGCCACTAACCTCAAACTGCCATCTCCATCGAAGTCGGGTCAAAAGCGAGGAAGGGGCCGCGCAGCCGCCGCCGGACATGGGTCAAAGGCCCTGGTAGACCCCTGCGGCGGGAAATAACTCCACGATTAGCCTGATTGAATATGCATCGACCATCTCCGCCATCCAGCTGTAGACTGCCGTCACCAACTCCCACAATGCCCGGGGAGGAGAGGTCAGCGGGACTCGGTTGAGTTCTGATATTTTTATTCCAAGGAAGGAGGAAGACAGAGAGAGAGAGAGAAAGCTACAGAGAAGAGAGAGAGAGAGGGACTACCGGTCCAGCGCCGCAGCCTTGCCCGTGGGGGTCTTCCCGTTAGCTAACTCCTAGGTCCATGTTCAGAACAAGGAAAGCGGCGGCAATACGCCATCATCCGGCGCCGCGGCCCACGAGTGCATCGAAGATCTGCCCGCACTGCAGCAAGGAGTACCCGTCATCCAAAGCCCGGAATGGGCACATGCGGTGGTGCAACCGAGAACTACCAGCGGCGGCTGCCGAGCCTCCGTTGAAGAAGCGGTCGGCCCCCGTCCGAGAAGACGAGTTCGACGATGAAGAGCGCCAAGTTGCTTCCAGCCTTCTCCATCTCTGCGGGGACCAGAGCGACGAGATGTTGTCTTCCTCCATCGCAATAGCCGGAGCCGCGTTCTTGGACTTGAACTTGGCGCCTCCGGAGGAGAAGCCCGGAGGCCTCTAACCGACTCGCCTATTCATCACCTGCGCTCCTCCATCTCCGTCTTTCTGTAACTTTTGCTCTATATTTTACTCTCCGGAAGAGGTTAACATCTGGGATTTTGTTCATTCTAGGACTGCCGGATGTATGAAGCTCTACACTATTCGTTAAATGTATGAAGTATTTTTCTGTTCGTTTAGTGAGGAGAATTCGGGGATTTCTTGGATATACGGAACTTAGAATTCTGAACTTCATCTCATCGTGTTCTCGTCTTCGGCGCTCTCAAACTGGTATAGAATGCAAATGTTCTTGGCTTAGACAATATATATTCTTGGCCGTGGAGCTGGAGAAAAAGAGCGATACATCTTCTTATGGAGGAGAGGCCGGCGGTACCAGAGCTACGAGACGCCCCAACCTCCGACCACCTAGCATTTTCATCGCCTGCCCTCCTCCATTCCCGTCTTTGTGGAACTTTCGATCTATATTTATGCTCTGGAGAAGGATAAATATCTGGGATATATCAAGATCTGCATTACTCATTAGACTGACCTAAAGCTTCCATCTCTCTCTCTCTCTCTCGCTTCCTTTGAATCAAATATGGTGGCCATTTTCAGGGCTATTCTAAGATCAGATGGTCTGTGAACTAGGTAAATCATGCCCGATTATCGGAATTATGCATAACTAATTAATTTCTCAAATATGGTATTGACGACTTCATGAGTTACGGAACTGTTATGAAAAGGAATTGGTCGAAGCCACTACCAAGCTTTGCATATAAAATGGAGACCTCTGTGGCATCCGAAAGTTATTAATTATTATTTATTTTGATGAATAAACGGGCTCGCTTTTCCCTTCCTCCCCCGGAACTACGTGCAGGCGTCCGTTCTCTGGTTCGGTTCCATCGCAGTTAACCTCAGACTGCCATATACCCCTCGCCGTTGCACCGCAGCAGCCGCGGGAGAGAGAGAGAGAGAGAGAGAGAGAGAACTGCGGATCAAAAAGGAGAAGTGCGGCGGGGATCCGCTGGCGTAGATGGGTCAAGGCCAGGTCCTGATGGGCACGCGCGGCGATTGCGGGAAGTAGTTCCGTTACCTGCTTCTTGATCGTATTTCTCGCGGCGGCGGCGACACGATCATTGGATGAGGCTGCAGTGGGATCCGGCCCATCAGTTTCTCTACTATCACCCTGATAGATTGAACAGAAGATGCTCTGACTGCCTCCGCCATCCGTCTGTAGAGTCTCCGCGATGGCCGGGGAGGAGAGGCCAGCGGGACCTAGTTATTCCTGCGAAGCGTAAAACAGTGATCGGCGAACGGGCGAGAGGGAAACACAGAGCGAGCGAGCGAGAGAGCCACAGAGAGAAAGCTGGAGAGAGAGAGAGAGAGAGAGCTAGTAAGAAGAGCCGTCACTTTCGCGCCGCCGCCTGTCGCAAGGACTACGAGTGCAGCGCCACCGCTACAGCCGGGGGTCTCCCCAGTAGCTAGCTCCATGCCCGACTCCCGTGTGAGGAGAGGCCGACGGGACTGGGAGGAGATCTCACGTTTTTATTCCCCTGAAGGGAGTAGAGAGAGAGAGAGAGAGCAACCGAGAGAGCTAGAGAGAGGGAGAACTACCGAGACAGATAGATGGAGAGCGATGCATATATTATCCTCACGACTATAATGAAAAGGGTAGTTTATGCCACAAATAACTGATATGACGTCCTCTTCGTCACATTCATCCGAATGCTCTGAAGTGTAGTTCGAGTTATCAAATATTCTAAATGAATTCAAATTATATGCGAAGAATCTCCTTCTCGAATTTATAGGAGTTATTTGATAGAGAGGGGGAAACTTAACTATCTTCCAGAATTGAAAACCAAATTGACAAACCCAAGATTAAAATTTTGAAAGGAGAATGTAACGTGACACCTGAAGTCAACGTGAATTATTTATTTCTAACAATATCAAAGGATCTTTATGAAAAATAAGCAAGCCTTTTTTAGAAAAACATGATGAAGCCCAGATTTATCAACTTATGGCTAAGGTGATGGTTTTGACACAAGGCATCAAGTCTGCCAAGGAGTATGCTAATAAATTCAAGTCTTTGTGGTAAGACATTGATAAATATCCACCAATTATTATTAGCAATGTAGAGTCAAAATGATATTCGGAGAGCCACGTAACAATAAAAAATGATCCAAATTTTCAGAACACACAAACATGAAGTCCCCAAATACGCTCGATGATCAAACTCCTAACCACATCTATACTATGACTCTTTGAATATATGACATTGTCGGCGTAAATTGGAAAGTACCTTACTGTCCTATTCTAAGAGGGAGAGAGAGGGAGAGAGTAGAGAGAGAGAGAGAGAAAGAGGGAAAAAGAAAGAGGGAGGGAGAGAGAGAGAGCAAAAAGAGAGAGTTACTGTCGGAAAGGCCGAGAGGGGGCAAGGGAGAGAGCGAAAGAGAGGGGGGAAGGAGAGAGAGCAAAAGAGAGGGAGAGAGAGAGCGAAAGAGAAGCAAATAGAGGGAGAGAGCGAAAGATAGGGAGGAAGACAGAGAGTGAGAGAGAGGGAGAGAGAGAGTGAGTAAGAGAGAAAGAGAGTTAGAGAGTGAGTCAAAGAGAGAGAGAAAGTAAAAGAATAGAGAGAGAGAGAGCAAGAGAGAGTGTGGGAAATGAATATAATCTATATAGGATCACAATAACAGTGAAAACTCAATTTCTGAATATCAGTGAGAGTAAATAGAAAAGAAATCACTAAGTTATTAAGAACCTTGATAAAAATAAGACTTCCATCAAACACTTATAATTTAGGTCTCAATATCTTAGAGAGTCAGCAATGGACTCTTATCTCATTTTATAAAAAAATCACTTACAATAAAAAGAAGAGGAAAGACCAAGTAAAAGAAAGAGAGTTGATGAAAAGCGATAATAGAATCAAAGGAGAGAGATAGATCTCGTCGTCCTTTGTGCAGGTAGCCCCACACATATCTGGGGTGATGGTTTCAACCACCCTTGTTTCTCGCTCTCTCCTAGATACACGACCCTCACATCTCGCACGTCCCCCGAACGGGTCAAAAGTTTTTATTGAGAGAGAGAGCTAGAGAGAGAGAGATAGAGAGACGGGTCTCCTTGTAAGTGATATTGGGAGAGTAGGTAATAACCAAAACGGATCCAAGTTTTTAGAACAGACATAGATGATGTCTTGGTCGTCCTCAATTCCTCATCCATTAAGGCTCTGAGCACATGTCAATGTTGAAGGGCATAAGAATGGGGGATGAATGTTTTGCTATCGGTCTTCATGTGTTTCTTCATATCTACGGCTATGACGAACTTTCACGTGAATCAATTATATGTATTACGAGCCTCCTACAGAGAGTCTTGTGACAAATTAGCTGTCTTACCCGACCCCATCTATCTTCCACTCTCTTCACCCCGCCCATTTCTCTCTCTCTCCACGCCCCCCTCCCCGCCTTTACCCTCGTCTGTCTGTCAGTCGCTACCATCTTCCCCCTCAGAAAGTCCAACCTCCATCCGTTGGCTAAAACCAGTACCTTCGAGGTCCCCCACTCGCCCTTCTCTTCCCCAACCCTTCAGCGGCGCTTCTGGGGTCACCCCCTTCACTCCGACGCTATTTGTTTTCTCCAAGACATTATTCAGGAGAGCTCCATACTTCGCCCCTCCAGCGGCAACCCCCTTTCGGAGTCAGCCCAACCAGGTCCCCAATACACATCTCCTGGCACCCAGGACCGGCATTGACCTCCTCTCTCTTTCTCTCTGTCTCTCTATCGTTCTGTCTGTCTCTATATCTATATATTTCTCAAAGTTTCGGTGAAAATTTTAGGGAAAGACTCTAACTGCCTCAAAGAGGTCCGCATCAGAGCTTACCGCGAGGGGTGTGATATCACTATTTGTGTGCTGAACATGACATTTTCTCTTTATATAGTTATAGGACAAAATCAGCAAACTTTGTCTTAAACTATTTCTAATACCTTAAATATCTTGTCCAAGCAGTAGCATTGAATTTATTCAAGTTACTCTATTCAACTGTAGTGAGAGATTCTATATGTAGACCTTTGCAATGGCTAATATATTTCGTGGCACTTCGGAATTAACTAATAAAAAATAGTTCTCGTCATGAACGCCTGCTAGGAAACATTAACTGATGCATTGTAAGAATGATGATCCACTAGAGAGAGAGAGAGAGAGAGAGAGAGATCCAATTCCAAAAAATATTACTATTGGTTTTCTAGCCTCGGCCAAGTGTCGGTGGCCGCAAATTGGTTGTTGTATATGTATAAAATAGTTTGTCTTAATAAAGGTAATCAAGAATTGGGGCCACTCATGTCCATGTGATTGTCGTGCCTCACCATACAGGTCAGATGCCCGAAAGGCCGGAGACCAATCAAGTTTCGAAACATGCCTGGCCCGATCGGGTTTTCGCCACTAGACTTCAATCTTACACACAAGGATTTCTATAGGAAGGTTCTACGTGTGAGTATTCAAAAGATGATAGAAGACGAGGCCGAGACTGGATAGTGGCGAAGAGGCTACACTAGAGGCACAGAGCGAGGGTTAGTGAGGAAACGAACGACCTAGAGAGAGAGAAAGAGAGAGAGAGAGAGAGAGAGAGATGCATGGTACATGCTTCTCTACTCGGTGGAATCATCTATCCAATTAGTTTCCCGTGTGGATAAGACGGCGATCGCCGGTGTGAGGCTCTTGCCGAGAAAGCTGGCTTTACTAGCGTTGTGCCTGGATGATATCAAGACAGTCAAGAACAAGCTCAATGCGGTAAGCTTCTACTGTCTATGACGTTTATCACGCTATCCTTAGTTGCTCACCAAGGGTGATTGAACTCACAAGATATATGGGTTATTAAAAAACATTATAGGCAAATTTCAATTATCTAATTATTGTGCCCTAATACTGAATCTCTTTGGTCCAAAGGTACCCTCTCAGAAATAATTCTCTGTAGAAATTTCTCATTTCTCAACTATTAGATCCCCTTTTCAAGAACCCCCAGTCAACCCAAGCATATTTATTTCACAGATTGGTTGAGTCATTCCTCATGTTTATGTTTACAGGCTATAGATTTTCTCAACCATCAGCTGTATTCCAACACAGACCTAATCCTCTCGAACATCGTCGGCCCTTTGGACGTTGTCACATTTGCAAAGAATCACATCACTAAGATTTGGGTTACAACAACCAGTCCACCTCTGGTATGTTTTTCTCTGTGAGCTTCCACTGTTGTGACTGATGGGTAAGTGGTACGATAAAAATGGTGCCTTTCTCCGAGTGCTGCAGGCTCTAGAGATCCACATGCTGACCTACAATGGAAAGGCGTTTCTAAATGTCCTAGTGGCTGCGGACATCATCCCTGCCCCTGAGCTGCTGTGCAAGTCCAGAGTGATGGATGCTGAAGACTATGGATCGGAGTCGTGATGTTCTTGTAGTTGTTCTCTCTCTCTCTCTCTCTCTCCCTCTCTCTCTCTCTCGCTCAAGAAGAATGATTCAAAATTTTCATTACTTCTCAAGAAAGAAACAAGCTACCTTGGGCAGTTATGTCGCATCTAATCAGAAGTATGCCGAAGAACTTGGCCATCATCATCCTCATCAACAGCCGTCTGATTCTCACACCGCACCTCACCCTCGCCTCTCGCCGAGTCAGCCGTGCCCGTCTTCAGTCGGTGATTGATTAATGACGAGGGTGGTTGACTAATTCAAGAACAAGAAAGAACAGGAGTTGGCAGATTATCTGGGATGGGAACTATAACTGGGCTGGAATTTTCAATGGTCCGAGGGCTCAGATCAATCAGCTCGGAAGCACAAATCTCTCAAAAACCCAGAAGAATCAATCTTCTTCCTCATTGCTGTGGCGTGTTGGCGACTATATACTCTTTCCTTCTGTAAGAATTAACTCACAACTTACGCCAATTTGGATGCGGATGCTTCCTCCAGCGTTTCAACATCTGAATAAAACCCGCCGCAATGAACAGCCCAAGTGCAGAGAAGGCAACGATCCAGGCGTTGCTGAGATTTCGATAGTAACCACCCTACAAAGAAAGAGGGAGATTATATAATTCAAAACGGTACATCATAAAAGGTGAAATGAACCGCGTGTCCGATGTGTTCTCAGAGTCAAGATGAGCAAACCTGAACCACGACGAGCAATATGATAGCATTTGCAGGGGCAAAAGATAGGCTCATCATGCCGCCACGAAGCTCATTGGGGACATATCTGCTCAGAAAACGCAGATGATATAATTAACTCTCAGACGGAATCTAGGAACGGCTACGTAAACAACGGAACCCAAAAAAGGAGCACCTACGCGGTCCTCAGCCGTGCGAGTGATGGAAAAATTAAACCGCAGCAAGCATGGAATACGCAGAATAGTACCACCAAAACCCCGATCTCCTGGTAGTTTCATCAGAACCAACAGCTAAAGTTATATGTGTTGCATCTGAGATGATGCCAGATGGGATCCACTGCTATATATATTTTACCTGATAGTCATAAGCTACTAATGTTAGAGACAGGCCCGCAATAGCAAAGGCAAAACTCAGATAATCCTCATTATGGATATTAGATGATCCGGCGCCGGAAAGCCAGGGAAATGTGGTGCTCCCGAGCATTCTTGAACCAAGAAAACATGGGTATATCAGTGATAGATTCACATCCCTCCCATCCGCCTGTAGTAAAATTAACAAAGAGGGGCTTGTCAACAGGACCCATGATATCTTAAAAGTTTCAAGTTCTGGTTGTCAACAGGATACATTGATTGTGCACCGTAAATAATGAAAAAAGGAAGATAAAATAGCCATGAGAGACGTACCACTATAGTTGGTGCCCACAGAATCCAAAATATTGAAACAGAGAAATGAAGGCAGCCTTGTGCGCCCGCTAGCAGCCATATCCGTTTATCTAGAAGAAAGCAACAATTAAATAAGGGAATAAGCGAGTCCTTAAAGGCCTCGGAAGACAGACAGTCACCAGACAATTCTGAAAGCTGCTGATAGTCAAAATAATGAGTGTGGCCAATAGGTAAAAACCCAAAGTTAGACAGTGGAACTGGGAAGAGGGCAACTTTCACAATCAATGATTTTTACGTGTCACCAATGGCAAAGAGGCATTAAAATAGGAGTACATCATGAATATACCACAGTTATGATTATTTTATCTATGAGTGCTGGGCATCATTGAATCATGGACAATGAAAGCTTAAGCTGGACCAAATATCTTCAAGAAGCTTGGTCCTTTACAGATTTCTCTATAGACCTTTCAGCTCAGATTTGTATAAAATCGTACCAATCAGCGTTTCATTATTAGGCTTGGACAAAATCTGGCTGTATAGTACTTGCCTGCATTTCGATTCTAGGTCTGGATAATATCTTCCGATAGTGCTGCACCATTGAATATATATAAGTTTGACTATGTGCATTTAGTTTCTGCCAGAACATAGTAATAGACCATTGTGAAACTAACAACTCCATCACAACATAACAGTTAAACTAAAAACTGACCTCTAGGGTAACTTGCACATATCCAATTCCTACTGATTTTGTTGTAAGAAAGATACTGCCACAAAAAGTCATAATGATAAGAGGGGAATCTCTAAAATGGGAATGGCAAGGTCCGGGAGCAAGAAAAAACGAGTTGCACAAGGGATAGCAACAATGAGGGATGAAGTTCACAAAAACCCCATGAAACGGTATACAGATGAGAAAAACCCATTTCTTTTTTAGGACACAATGCATGAAAGAGCAGGTTGAAAAAAAAACGTTTGAGAGAAAAAGAATGAAACAATGAAACGTTTGTATTCATATCCTGCACTTGAACTAGTTGAACTACTGGCTGATGGAGAATGCGCTGATGACCTCCTAAAACACAACGTCTTCCTCTTAAGTATCGTTAAAATGCTTTTTACTCCCATTTGAGCATACAAAAAGAGAAGGGCAAAACACTAACTATTTAATAAATAGAAAAGAAAATAAAGCAGAAATGTAGCCTCATTCACTGTAGGACGAGATCCAATCCTGCTACAGAAAGAATACAAAATAGCTACAGAAAGCTATTTGCATGCTTCTGCGTAATGATTTGTGCACACGAATCGAAAAGACACTAGATTCTCAGAACTGGGGATATTTATAGAAAAGGTATCCCAGAAATCTGAATTCATTAAAATTTTAAAAAAAAATCAAAAATTAAAGAACACGCTTGTCATACCCCTTAGAATATTCATACAAAAGGAATTCCCGTAATCCCTGAAAGAAGCAAAGTGCTTATGTCCATTCCACATCTTCCTGATACACAGGATGCTTGTCAGTGACAATAGAGCAGCTGGAGCAGAGGGGAGGAAAAATCCCTTCTCAAGATCCGTGACCAACAAATTCGCAAGTGCTTGACTTCCAATGAGAGACGCAGACTCAAAAAATATCATCAACCAGAAAGTATCTGTCAGTAAATCTTGCCTATGACCTTGCTGCAAAAGAAAAGAGCAGCTGAGGGATGAGATTGCTGTGATTTCAAAAAATAAGTGAATAATTTTAAGAAGAGAACATACTCTTTCATGCTCTGTCGTCATCCACGTCTCAAAACTGAACAAAAATATAAATGAGGCAAGTGCCAAGCATACACTCGACATCCAGATAATAGGATGCGCAGATATGCTCCTCAGGACATCAACAAAAAGATGCAGGATGCAGTATGTAATACATGCCTTCCTCGGACCACTGAAGAAAAATGCAAGAGAGTATCTATTAGAACTAAAATTATGGTAGATACACCATAATCAGTAAACTACAACATGTTTGGTCAGATAACACATACCCAGCGACAGAAAGAAAAAAAATTACACACCAAGAAAGAAAAAAGGAAAAGAATAAGACCAACAAAAAATTCTCATATTCATCTACCCTATCAAAATGAACGTCACTAGCATCAATTCTGTAGGCCATTCAACATAAAACAGATAGCCAGAAGTCACCAAACTTTTCTGAAACCAACTGTCATTCCTCACCCTCCAAAACCTCAACTGACCATACGATGCATCTGTAATGCGGTCGACCAACTGTACTAGTGAGAGTGTGACATAAAATTACCACAATACTTACAATATGTCAGAGAGTACTCCTAAAAAAGAACCAATGGAGAGAGTGGCAGCAATTCCTGCACAAAGGCACAACACCATCTGCTCCCTGCTAGCTCCGTAGTGTTGATACTCATCCTCCCCGAACACTGTCTGAAGGCCGCCAATCACTGATGAAACAGTGGAGAGAAACAGAGAGTTTAAAAAGACAACAAGGATTCCGTATTCTCCATAGTCTAGCAAAAGTACATTATCGAAGAAAAGCATAGATTCACCCACCGCTAAGTGGTGAAACGAAAAGCAATAGAAGGAGAAGGTAGAAAGTCACATGCCGGTAAACTTCCAATCCGTAGAAGTGCAAGAAATGGTTATCAAAATATGGATGAAGAATGATGACGTCAAACTAGATCGGCGCATGATCCAAAATAAATCGCAGACAAGAAGCGGATGCTAAAATGCTAACAAGACAAGAAGACAAAGTTTCATAAAGTGGGAGAGTAATTGACCTGAAGCAAGAGAATATATAAACAAGAAGCTCCTCTGGAAGCTCAGGAACGACGTTGTGGAGCCAAATTCAAGAAGAGAAGAATGGGCGGCCCTCGCATTCGTTGCAACAACGACAGTGGATTTCTTCGAAAGGTACGGAAACAGGAAGATCGAAGACAAGCAGGAACAGAAGAGCAAGAAGAAGGTTCGGGAGCCCGGCTCCCATTCCACGCGCTCAATCACCAACCCCATTGAGGGAGGGAAGACCACGTCTTCAGATCTCAGGTATGCAAGCTATGCAGTGAGGCAATATCTCCGGAATCCGTTAGAAAGACCAGACGACGGTATCGGAACGATCTCGTTGCTGAAGTCTGAGAAGACCGGCGACAGTGAGCGATGGAGGTGCGGGTTCCACAGTCCGCCGCCGCTGGCGCCACCCCCGAGCTCATCCCCCCATCCCCACAGCAAACAAGGAACTTACAACCCTATGGCCAAGATTTCCCCACGAAGACCTGAATCTCCACAGATGGAGCGAGGAAGAAGAAGGCTTTCCCCGGAGCGACGGCTCTCTCCCTCTTCCCGCTTCAGCGCCGCCATTAGCCCTCTTCATCTCTCCTCTTTATTGTCGTCACCTCAACGGCGGTTCGACAGAGGCACAGAAGCCGTCCCAACGGTGGTTCGCCGCCGCAGGCTTCAAACCCAGTCGAATTTATTGTCTCATTAAAGCTTAAAAACAATATATGTATATATATATATTACTACGTATATGTTAAATATCAGATAGAAAAATAAATTTTACGACTGTTCAGTTGCCCTTTAGGGAACATGTTAGCCCCACTATCGGGGCTCACTAGACCCATTGTTCTGAGTCAAAAATTGACCTTTTAAGATATTTGAGGTCAACGAGATCTAGATCTTCAAATTGTATGTCAAGCTTCAGCCCTAACGCTGTAAAAATCATGATAGCGGCATAAAATGGCAAATATATGGGCTACCATCCGCAGAAAACAGGTTGACTAAGATCATGATTGCACCCCAAAAAGAATCGGTAAACCAGATCATTAACAAGAACGACATCTTTCAAGAATCGGGTCAACTGTATGGCCCGTTGACAATCAGCCTGAAAAATGACGAGATCCCTTGGACGTATGCCTGAAATATATGGGCTATCACTCTGCAGAAAGCAGAGTGACTGAGACCATGATTTCGCGAAAAAAACCATTGGTAAACCAGATCACTAACAAGAACGACAGCTTTCAAGAACTGGGTCAACTGCATGGCCCGTTGACAATCAGCCTGACTAATGCCTGAAATATATAGGCTATCACTCTGCAGAAAGCAGAGTGACTGAGACCATGATTTCACCATAAAACAAAACATCGGTAAACCAGATCACAAACAAGAACGACAGCTTTCAAGAACTGGGACAACTGCATGGCCCGTTGACAATCAGCCTGACAAATGACGAGATTCCTTGGAGTTATGCCTGAAATAGAACAGAAAATCACACACCTTGTTGGCAAATCAAGGAAATCCAGCAGGTCAGAGAGAGATGTAGACAGGTGATCCAAGCTTACCAGGCCCATCAATCTGCAGGCTGTAGTAAAGAGGAGAAGACTGTTTCATCAGGAAGCCCTCATTCATCTTCCTCTGGTTTGACATAGAACTCGATGTAAGCAATTCTAGCGGATTGCTGAAGCCCCGAAAAGTCACTGTGATGAGGATGGTGAATCCCGGGCCTAGCGACAGACACCAGATGCTGGATCTTCAGCATTCCACCCCTCCCGAAGGTCAGCTTACTTCCCCTATTATCTTTCAAGACGCTTCCTGCAATGTTGGAAGTCGTAGCTCGGAGGAACTTGTATTTGTATCTGTGCAAGAAAAATTATCAAAAATCTGTACTGGCGCTCCCATTCACCAATCTAACGGCGTGAGTTCATACGGAGACGGCCGAGATTTTTTATTTTTTATTTGCAAGTACCAAAAAGGCCGTGTATTTCTTAATGACACAATAATGAGATTAATACAGGAGGAGCCACCTGTATGAAACTTGACGATCACACTGGAACGTGATCAGAAGATCTGAATTCGCATAATATGGAAACTCGATCTGCCAGCCAGATGATCGTCGATCAGTGAGGTTGGTGGATATTGGGAGGTTATAGTAGACTCAATTTAGTAAAATAACAGCCGGAGATAGAATTATTGAACCTGCAAGTCCCCATGACCTTCACCCTTGAACACGACAGAGGAAGGTTCTGGCTGTAGCAGTATCTGGATGGTAGAACTGGGCCATTCAAGATCATCAATCGCCTCCTTCAGAGATGCTGTCTGGGATTGTTGCCAGTAGAAGCAATTAACATTAAAGAAGAAAAGTGTGTATAATCCCAGTAAAATATTATAGAAAAAAAAGCTGGTGAAACTCCTGCTTGGTGAGTCAACGAAATATGCAGAATATGTTACCTTAATGGTGAAACTGAGAGGATTATTCCTGCTGGGTCCAAAATCACAGTCCCAAGAAATTGTGTCCGCTATCCTCGTTCTGATCTCGGCATAAATGCATACATCAACTGAGTCCACCGACCTGATGAACAAGATTGTGGGATCAGAGCCTGCAAGTGGATAGTCAAGATCTTAATCACAGCTATGGTTTCCATCGGTGAAGTATGCTTTGGCCAGATCTTTTAGAGTAAAAAAAAAAAAATCCAGCCCCAAAATCAAACCATTGCACTTTCGGCATGAAAAAACTAGCTAAGTCAGCCATCTTCTAAATCAGTGTTCGAAGGGAAAGGCACGTCTCAGAATGCAGAAAGAAATTATAACACTAATATAGTACAACTCTAGTCAGCTATTATCTGTTTGAAGAATATCAATGCAGTGCTGCATTGTCAAGCAAGAGCTGTATCTGCCAAATAGCATAAACGGCTTATTGAGGATTCTTAGCTATATATTGGTGTGAAGAAGGAAGAAGGCAGCAATCTACTGGCTGAAAAAAAGGCATAGGTACTAACAGGAAGGCCTACCTCACAATCTTTCACAGGAACAAGTTCATAGCACATGAAATGATTGTGGGCGTATGTATGTACAAAGATGAAGAGATAGAGAGAGAGAGAGAGGATGAGTCTTACTTGAGAATGAGTTGCATGTCAGGGCCAGGGTACAGGATTTCAATCACGGGGGCATGCCCTGGAGAGGAGAATGTATTCAGGCAATCAACGAGCAGCCCCAGACTCAGTCCAAACCTTGGGCGCCCCTCTGCGCTGTATTCATAGGTCAGAAACAGCTGCAAATTCAAAATGCATCAACAATACAGAATTTTTTTCGAAAGAAAAAAATTCAGTACCATGTAGTTATAATGGAAGTAATTAAGAAATCGATGGGAAAAAAGCGGAAGAGAAAAAAAATCCATGATCAAACGGGAGAACGAAAAATGCCTCCCACAATTAATTTATCTATCGATTTAGGTAGAGTCCTGACAAGAGTGGTAAGTAATTCCTTGAAAGTAACCAAGGAAGAGAGTACTTAGAAATACTGCGCAATTATAACGGTAGAAATCGAGAGACCAGAGGGAAGAAGAATCAGAAGGAAAATAATGCTCTATGCTCAACGGAAGAGTTGAGGCAAATGGCTTCGTCAATAGATTTACCTCACGCTTCAGGTAGACTTTGGCCTGCAGACAGCCTGCTTCCTCCACGATCAGAACAATTCCATGCTCCGAAATCTCTACCAATGCGTCCTGCTCACATTTTCCAAAAATCATAAACAGACGTTGGAAGGAAGGGACAGCAAACCCTATAGGTGCAGATAACAGCCAAGCGAGCACAGCAAGATCGTGCAGAGGAGGAGGGGGGGCACCTGGTTGCGCTTCCACCTGACGGAGGAGAGGGCGTCCACCATTCCTTGGACGCTGTCCAGCCGGCAAACCAGGTCCGGAGCCTCGTCGGCTTCCGGTGGGGAAGAGCTCATTCCTTGAACTCCTGGAAGTATGTCTGACTGGCGGGGACGGCCATCTCCCCATCGAAACCCCGTTCCACAGTGCTTCGCATCGGCCCATTCACGGCCCAATTACTTTTAGCGTTATTGGGCTATCAAGAGTCCTCCTTTCGAAGGGACGGTGTATTCGTGCATGTGAGATGCGTTTGGCGTTGGGGAAGAAGATGGAGAGAATGAGATTTTGCCGGTAAAATTTTGATATAGGAGATCATGCCTCTGTATTGACCTGGGTATTTTCTGATGGGCTCCAGCTTCCCCACTTATTCTCTCTCTCTCTCTCTCTCTCTCTCTCTCTCTCTCTCTCTCTCTCTCTCTCTCTCTCTCTCTCTCCCCTTCTCTCTCCTTCTATCTATGCCTCTCTCACCTCTTCTCTATCTGCACATCTTCCATGTGTATATGGATACATATTCCTCACTATTTATCCTCCCCTAACTATCCATACCCCTGTCTCACTCTATCCACTGCGTTATCTATCTACCCTCTCTCTCTCTCTCTCTCTCGCTCTCTCTCGATCTATGTATCTATCTATCTATCTCTCTAGGAGAGTCCATCTTTCAGCATATCGCTTTCTCCCTCGCTCTTTGCAAAGAGGCTGCGGGCGAAGAAAATAGCGAGTATCCTCACTTGAGTCGGATCTGTCTCGTCGTGCTGGGGCACACTGCTTTCGATGGTCTCATTTCTTACCTTGTTCACCAACATGCATGATTCTTTGAGCCGTTCTATATCGATATCATAACAAACCGGATTACCCAACAAGTTATTTGATTCGGAGCCGTATTAGATCTTCTGTTCTCCATCTCTGTCATACTGACTCTCTCTCCTAATCTCTCTCCCTCTCCGTTTCCTTCTCCCCTTCTCTCTTCCTCTCTCACTGTCCTATTATCTTCCCTCTCAATCTCCCTCCCTCTCTCTCTCTCTCTCTCTCTCTCTCTCTCTCTCTCTCTCTCTCTCTCTCTCTCTCTCTCTCTCTCTCGCTCGCACGCTCTCCTGCTCTCCTGCTCTCCCACTCTCCCACTCTTTCCCCCTTCTCTCTCTCTCCCACCTTCTCTCTCTCTCTCTCTCTCTCTCTCTCTCTCTCGCTCGTTCTCCTGCTCTCCTGCTCTCCTCTCTCCCACTCTCTCCCCCTTCCCTCTCTCCCCCCCCTTCTCTCTCTCTCTCTCTCTCTCTTCCTAAATGTGTTAGCTTAACCAAGTAAACACCATCTTGAATTATCAGAGCTCACGCTGAGCGTGGACAGAGCTTCAGTTTGTTGAATGAGCTCAGAGACCTTCGAGCTTAGGGACGATTGGCTTCAAAACCTTGCACTCGCAAGAATGCTTCTCACAACGAGGGTTTCGTTTATCCAATCGAAACCCCATCTTCGCAGGTTATCCAACCCCTTCTAGGGTTTTCAGGATACGACCTTCGAGGACAGGTCACGGACGAACCATCAATCTCATCCGAAGAAGAACAAAGAAAACTCAGATACGCCCATGAACTCGTGCTCATGATCATCTCCTACGGATCAGTTGTTATTGCTTGACTGAGATTACAATATACGACTTTATTATCCAAATATATTGTCTCCCTAGGCTCTTACACGCATCACCGAAGACCCAGAGACTGAGACCCTAAAACTAACAGAAGTGAATGGAGAAGTAGGAGATAGGTGAGCCATCTATGTGTGTGCATAGACATCTGTATAGAGAGAGAGAGAGAGAGAGAGAGAGAGAGAGAGAGAGAAGAAAGTGGAAAATATCCTCATCATTTATTGGACTCGGAAGGGTTCTTAGCTCCTCTCCAGTTGTGCAAGAAGGGCGGCCTTGAGGGCGTCCTCGGACTCCAACCCAGGGGGAGCCCTGGCGACCACATCCTGCAGCATGAACTCCTTCACACAAGAGATGCTCGCGTGTTGCACTTGCATGTCGAGCTCTCGCAGCGCAGACATCAACCTCGCCGATGGGTGACTCAGATTCTCGGACTTCACTCTGATCACTGCGTCTGCCTCCATCATCCTCACGTCGAACTCCATCTTGTCGCCGGCACCTCCTCCTCCACCTACTCCCTCTCCTCCGGCTGCTGCTCCTGCTACCTTACCGGTGCGGACAACGGTGGGACGAGGGCCGTTGGCCGTGGCGGTCACCTTGAGGGCCTCGTTCTTGGGTTTCTTGGCCTCCGCCTCCAGCTCCTCCACTCTGGAGCGGAGCTCCTTGATGTAGGAGACGGCGTCGGCCAACAGCGATGCCTTGTCCATCCTCGACACGTTGGGCACGACGGAGCGGAGGGCATAGAACCGGAGGTTGAGCTTCTCCCTCCGCTGCCTCTCCGCCTCCACGTGGTTCACCGGCACTTCCTTGCCGCTCCCAGGCTTCCTCCCCCGCTTCTTCGGCCGCCGCCTCTCCAGCAGAAGCCCCCCCTCAGAGTCCGAGTGCTCTGATTCCAGAGATGACGTCAGCCCTACAGGAACCCCATCCTTGAGGGCCTTGGGCATCACCGTCGCGGAGGCGGAAGGAACCACCGTCGTCATTCCTCCTCCTCCGCCGCCACCGCCGCCGCCGCCACCCAGATCGAGATCGAGTCCTACGCTCAGCAGGGCCTTGACCTGCTGAACCAGACCCCAATTGTCCCCCACCATCTCTGGCGATCCAAGCTCCAGCACGCCGTTGCCGGCGGGGATGCAGACGAGCGTGGCCACGCCGTGGAGCAGCGCCTCCCGGCACCTCTCGCAGCCATACATCTGCAGCTCGTGTCCGCCGGAAAGCCAGACGTGGCTGCCAGAGGCGAAAGCGCGGGTGGGCACCGCGTGATCGGCGGCGATGGCGAAGGAGCGCGCCTGAGAGACCAGGTAGAACCACTCGATGTCTGAGACGACTCCATCGGTGGTGATATCGGAGTTGTTGTCGTCGCTCAGAAGGGAGACCTTCTTCCTCTCCGGGTTCAGCAGGAAGTTGTTGCCGCTGCTACCGTTGCCGCCTCCGTTGCCGCGGAGGTGGCCGTCTCCCCAGGAGAGGATGGTGCGGGGATCGTAGATGGTGGTGCGTGGGTGGTGATCGGAAGAGGAAGCCCGCCAGAATATGGCGTAGGCCCACCACTCCGGGAGGGTCTGCAGGAGGTACTGGAGGCGGTGCTTCAGGGTGAGCAGAGGCGAGAGAGGGAGGAAGGAAGTGGTGGAGAAGAGTTGCGGCGGCGGTGGTGGCTGTGGGTTTGGAGAAGATGTCGGAGATATCAGCTCCTCCATGTCTCCGCTCTGTTCCTAGGGTTTGGAAGATTGCCTTTTGGCCGGGTGCAACTTCTACGGCCGCAACCACGACAGGAGTACGAGAGCCGGTGGCTCAAGATATTGAATCTAAACCTATATAACAAGGACGGCGAGCCCAAGAGTAAACTGTGAAAGAGATGTAGCCTGGTCAGGTAACGGAGAGAGAGAAAGAGGGGGGATGGAAGTCGATAGATGGATAGATAGACAGATAGCGAGAGAGAGAGAGAGAGAGAGAGAGAGAGAGAGAGAGAGAGGGTGCGGAAGGGGGGACAGTTGGCGTCGTAAGAGGAAAAATTCAGAGAAGAGGGAGTCACGATTAGCACCTGCTCCGATAGGGAGGGCGGGATGGCGACGGCGCATATGGGGTCGCCTTTGTGTTTATTGACTGGTACCGACACTCAGGGCCCACATCGCCACGTAGACGCGTTTATCGACTCACATCCTTGACCCCTTTCATCTTTGACAGCAAACCACCAGGACTGCATCTCAAAAACCAAGTATTTGTATAGTTTTATGTTTTAGAGGAAATGGAAGAGGAGGGTACATGGAGGAGCATGCACCCATAGACTCCGAAGACCTGACGTGCCCATCTTGCACAGACCACGGAGAACGACGACCGCACGGCTTCGGCTCTGCGTGAGGCGTCCCCGGGTGTACCGAGTTCGGCGAGAATCTCCTCCCATCAAATCGGGTTCCCATCTCGGCCATCATGGCCGGACCATCCTATACGAAGGCGTCAATGTCGCCCTCCGGCCTCGGAGAGATTCCTCTGGGAGGCTGCACTAGCGCTGCTGCGGCGACAGAGGAACCCCGTGCCGGTGGCAAGGACGTCCTCGCCACGGGACGGGTGTTCCTGTTGCTCTGAGATCGCGCGGTCGAGGGAGGAGGATTCCAGAGGAAGCTTCGACGCAGCACCGAGAAAGGCTGAGCGGTTTGTCATCTTTCCCGGAGGAAGAAGCCTCGACGAAAGGTGGAGGCTTGGAATCTGACGGCTTCATTCCTTGTTGTCGCCTTGTCCCCGTGCCGCGAGGGGGGGAATGATCACCCCGGCCCTGAGTCTTGACACCACGAGGCCAGCGAGGGAGAGATGATTCCTCCGAGAGCTTCCGTCGTCTAAAATATTTGGTCTACAGAGGAGCAGCGTACGGAGCGGCGCCGCCCGGCACACAAACTGCGTGACGGGACGGCGGAATGCACGTGCCGCGACGAGGCCCCGCGCCGGCTGCTGCCTTCGCCAGCGCTGCTGCCGCTCGGAAGCGTTCCTCGTCAAAATATACCGCTCGATGAGGACTGCGAAGCCGGCAGATTCGAAAGCTCCAAAGGCCCCATCGCTTCGGCGAAAGGACCCGCCTGACGGCGACCAACGGCGACCAACGGCGTCCCCCACCGCCCCATCCCCCGCGCGCGTTCCTGCTTGTCCGCTGAAGGCGGTGCCGGTGCAAGTCGGAGCTTCCTGATCTGACTAGCAGACAGCCAGCGACAGTAGCACGCCAAGGCATGATGGCCGGAGGAATGCCGTGGATAATGGATCGCCATCTTCCGCCACCTGTTGCACCTATAGTTCCACTTCATGAGATGGATTGAAAGAGAGTTCAATCTTCGGGTTTAGGGAGGCCCTGCCAGAATGGAAAATCAACAGTCAATAAGTCAAGCTCTAATTTCGGGATTATAAACTGCTCGTTAGACAGGATTATCAAAACTCGACAAATCCAATTCTATAGCTGTGATTGGACATAGGAGCGCATTATCAAAAGTTGATTAGTTAATAGGATGTATCGAAGAGAATTATCAATATATGTTTGATCTTTTCATGATATTTCATATTTTATCATCAAAACCATTTCATCATCAAACATTTAAAATTATTGCTTATTTTATTATGAGATTAACATTATATCTTCCTGAATAAATTTAAATTAATTCCAAGAACATGAATCATTAATGAGAACTTTCGTTTTAGTATGATAAGCCATCAAAACCACCTGGAGAATTAACACCTTGAAATGACATGTTGACTTTTATTTCTATAAGCATCAAGGATTATGGTCAAAGCCAATGGGTAACTCGTCTCTAGTCAAATTCCTTACTTTTTGTTTCATTTCGTACATAAAAATCTTAGACGCCATCACATGTGGGTTGCATGATTTTATTACTTTTGTGATTTCCAATGAATTAAAAGATTAGGTTGGAAGCAATGGGTGAATGGTCAATGGTCGAGAAGTTATAATGAGGTTATTGTGGACAGAACGTTGAATGTCAATTTGATTCTGCATGAAGTCATTTATAGTCCATCCCAAAATCATTAGAAATAAATATTTATTGCATATTATTTATCTTATTTCTATGGAATATCACATATAATATGTAGTTTCTTCTATATGGTTAACCTTTTTGTAGAAATCATAAGGCATTGATTCTTTAATTAACTCAAAGTTCTTAAAAAATGAATAGATATATCATGTAACTAGATGGTTTATTTTGGTTATTTGAACCATATGTTATTATTCAGATATTACAAAACATTATAAGATGAAACCTCTAACCGATTGCACCAACTCAACACACATTGGAAGGAAAAAAAATTAAATAATAAAGGCATGATAATATCAAGAAAAAATATGAAATATATTAGATCTCATATATTTCCTTATTAAGAGCACTTAATTTATGCACAATGATTGGCATCATATTTATAGATTTTGCTAAATTAATTTTTAAAAAATATTTTCATTTTTTTCTAATAATGATGGTTCATTTTTAAATTTGAATGAAGTAATAAACTGACAAGGTTACATCATTAGATAATATTGAATATATATTTAATAGTCATAAAAAAAAATTCCTCAACCATAAAATATTCTTATGTTTCTATTTTCTTTGACCAAGTCCAAATTATATCAAACCTAATAATGACCTCTAAATAGTGTTTTTGATGTGAATATGCTAGTTGCTGATTCAGCAATAACAATACGTATAAAACACTTAACTCACCATACCCATTCGTCCCCTTCAAGCACTCTCTATGGTTTTGATGGCAACCAAAGTATGTATGATTACTTAGGTAGGATGTTGTTTCTTATGCTATCAAATCAGTTTGTATCAAGATGACCTCAAAATGTTTATTATCATCTTGTGGAAGTTTTAAGACACTAATTTACTCTATACGTGTGGGAATATTATGTTGTAGCATTTAACTACATATAGTTCAATAATTAATGAGATTCCTTACTTGTCCTTTTAGCTCATGAAATACTCAAATAATTTAAATAAAACATATGAAATATATTTATGTTTTTAAAATATATGATAACTTTGGAAACTTATCAAAGATTTGTCTTTACACTTTAATATATGTGACATTTTTAAGTATTTTATTCATTTGATGTATTTGCAATGATGTTACTCTTCTTATTCTCTATGATATACATTTTAACATCCTTCATGATTGATTAAGATTTAATTATCTATAATTTTCATCAACTTGTATTTATTTGCAGAGCATAGCTGCCTATAATTACTTATTTTATATTGCATTAATAGTAAATAGCCAACGTTGTTTTCCCATATTATGTTTTATTTATTTATCAAAGATTTATAGCACTCCATATATTTGATAAAAAATAATGGACTATATGTTTCTTATAGAAAGGGCATTATTTCACTTGCATAAAAAATGTGTCATCAACTAATTGGAGGAATAATAGTAATAATAATTTTCATATTAAATAAGTTATATTTCCTATTCTTTATAGGCCATGTGGTTTTATATAGTTACACAACATTTGTATCAAAGTAAATACCCCAACTTGATATACATAGGGTGCTAGTGCACATGACTCTTATGCACACATTGATATACATAGATAGGCATATGGACATGCAAATAACGTACATGAATATGCATGCGGCATATAGCTAGCATAATAATCATCATCAAATATTATTTTCAACAATAAGACTCAAATAAACATCTTATTGAAGATGTTATGTCACAAGCATAATTCAGTCTCATTTGTCTTAAAGATATCTTATTTAAGTGGATGCCAACAATTCATAATTAGATGACATATGCCATTTTTTAAAGATGAAAATAATAATATAGAAAAAGGGATAAAGAAGATATGATCCAACCATTTGGAAGCTTGTCAATCTGTTATTGAGAGCTTGTCAATTTATAACTAGGAACCTATCAATTTGTTTGAGGTGTTTCAAACGTGTTTCATTCTTTATTATATCAATAGGTAAAGAAGAATCTTTCAACTTCAAAGAACATTTATATATGTGAGCTGTCTTGATTTGACTTTTCTTAGAATAATTATAAGAACATAAAGTATTGAAATAATTTTTAATTTTATATAGTTATTCTGTTTAAATATATATATTATATTTACTACTAAAACATATGAATTTTTGGAGCATATATAAATACTAATATGTCATTATTCTTACTTTTAAAAAATAAAATAATATCTATATTCATTTTTTAAGTCAAAATCAAGAAAATAGTTATTAAAAACATAAAATACTTATCATTTCATATTGTATATTAAATTATTTGTATAGATCTAAATCCCTCTCTTTCAAGTAATCACTATAGTTCTCAATCTACAAAGGGGTCAAAGCTCAATCATAACCTTCATTAATTTAATTACCTATAGTCTAGATGCTCAAGGGATAGCCTAAGTGAATAAGAGGAAGGTTTTCACTATCATTGTCTTTCATAATAAATTGTTTGACTATAAGCTGATGCCTAGGAGGAAGATCTTAAGTTTTGTTGGAGTATTAAATGCATAGTTTTGATAATGATAAATAAAAGTGTTTAGATTAATTATGCCTACTTTTAAATTTAATTGATATGAGATTAAATATAAAAGTGTTTAGATATAATTTCAAATAATCCTATTACTAGATGAAAAATCATTAGTTATATTTGTGATTGTGATGTTAAATTTATATATTTTATCACATGAAAATATTAA